ATAGCTATAGTTTTGAGAAAAATCGAAAAAATTCGTATCATCTCTTCCCATTTTTTCAGCATAATCCGTCAGTACTTCCATTCAAAAAGTTCCAAATTTGGAATTCATAAAACTTACATGAGATCAGTCGGACCTATCCATTGAGATCCGGAGTTTTGAACTTTCCATCTTCAGAAAAGTATTTCTGTTTTAATTTTTGAAAACTAGGCAAGTCATTTTTCCGGATAAGATAACACTAATAATAATGATTTGTTTTTTTCGGAAAAAAATCCAGAGAACACTTTACTAAAATTCCAAATTCATTTGCAACATTTTCCGTTGGGACGAGAGGTCAGGGTATCAAGTGACGTAAATTAAAGAGAAAAAAAAATGCTCATTGGCGTTTTACGCTTTTCTGCAATTTGTTTCTAAATCTTCATTTCCTTTGAGGCTGTTGTTTTATTTACATTGCGAAGGCGGACATCTTTTCTACCAACTCTGTATCTTTTCATACCATAGAAATAGGGATGTAATGAATGAGTCAAGTATTGCTGAGAAGAATATTTGTTCCCTATTAGAAAATTATACAAAAATATTATTATTGGATGTGGAATCATTTTTTGAATGACACTTCCTTCTTCTTGAATAATTATGTTGCGTGAGCAGAAGTCCTTAAGTGCATGTTCGAAATTAGATGACATGATGAAGATCATAATTCTCCTAAGAAGATAGAACAACATAATCCAAATACTTGTTGCTCTGAAAATGTAACAGAAGCCAAAATTCGCTTGTTTTAAATTATGAAATTTCGACTTTTTGAATTGTTCTAACGTTATTATCATTGTAGGCTTTTGACATAACTGTTTTAAAATGAATCTACTAGTTTTATACAAGCCATGTTCACAAAAAAAACGTGAAATTTTTGTGATTATACTTCCGTTTCTGAAATTTTCGGTAGCGCATAATGTGTCAGATTAGCTTTTGTTATGAAGCTCATAATTCTTCTTGTTTTGTATTGTTTTTTTTTCATGCATTAATTTGACATTCAAAATCCTATATTTTGTTTTTTATGAAGGCCAAAAAATTATTTCTATTTTCGGGAAAATAAGAGTAATCCGTAGAATATCATTAACTGATTAGGTTTACAACCTTCAACAAACCTTTTTTGTTGAAAAACATACGAATTGGGAAGGTTTTACGTCATGTGGGAAATTCCAACTGATAGTTGGATAAGTTGATTTTCTAAAAATTCCAAAGAACGAAACGGTCTAGTAAAGTTGTTAATTGCCCATAAATCTTTTTAGTTCTCAAAATCAATAAAAAGCAGAAATATAGTTTTGAAGCAATCATCATGCGAGTTTCCTTTGATTATGCCGCCAGTGAGTATAGTGGTGTAAAGAACATCAAAGTGCCGGTCGTTGATTAATTGAACTACGATTCGAACGAGCAAGTGTCAGTATAAAAGACGATTGCAAAGAAGGTCTAAAACTCAATTATCTAAATAATTCCCATTTTCACTTGTCATAAATCAGAAAAAAATAGCTGTGTACTTCCGAACTTTCATTGACAATAGAGTGTTGCCACTTTTCCGGGCATGATTGTTTCTGCAGATAAATCCGGCTATTTTTGTCATTGTTTGGCTCCATTCTTCGTGCGTTTTTGCAACTTTCTCTCAAAATCGCAAGAAACAAGTTGAGAAAAAAAAATGAACTGGCCATTTTAGGTTTCTAACAATGGATTCAAAACGTTTCCGTGGTGTTTGACCAGTTCCTTTTTATTCTTTGGGGGAAAAAAAGCTCATCTCGAGTTACAGGCTTTTTTTACATTTTTGCACTCTGGAATAACCAACCATCTAGAGTAGAAAATTTTTCACACATACTATGTCATTCTGATTTTCCCACACAAGAGTTCATCTTAATTTATTATTTCTATCGGCAGTAAGATGAAGAGAAGGTGGGAAGATATCTTATGACCGGTTTGAAAAACCGCTGCCATTCTTGCTCTTTCAACTTACTCAAAATAATAGTGAGGGAGCCATCGAAAATTTTCTAAGACATCCTCATTAAATATCCGGGTTCTCATATGGCGATTTTTTAGAACACCAGTAAATTAAATGCAGTTGCCACGTCACCTTCTACTCTGGTTTTTCTTCTTCATTTCACATCCTCCCCTCATTTTTATTTCATTAATCTCGTTAGGCATTCAACGCCTTTTCTTACCCGGTTCCATCATCTGAATGCTGGAATCTTAGAAAACATGAATGAAAATAATATCCTTTTTGTTTCCCTGTGTTTTTGTTTCATTCTCATTCCCTGTTTTTTTCTGATCTCTGCTTCTCATTTTGGATCTGAGAACAAAAAGTGTTATAAAGTTATTTGAGGAGCAGTTTCACAGAAAAGGCAATTCCTCAGAATCCGACGCTAATATTCAGGTTATATTCTTAACCCATACCATTAAAAATTATATTAATTGATTTCATCTGTTTTTATAAACTATTTCACCAGATTGTCAAAACAGCAGGTGCCATGATCCCTAAAACCACCATACTCTTTTTTTTGTTTTCCTATTATTCTTGAGTCCTATTCCAGACTCTCATTTTGAGCATTTGCTCCCTCCATATCCTTTTTCGTCTCCACTGTTTCCTTCCATATTCATTTTGAACCAATTTAAATTTTCCTATGTTTTTCATGTTCTCATTCTTTTTCTTATTTTTTCATTCATTCGTTCGTTCCTCCGCTCTTAAATTCGAAGAACTGTCTGAAAGATTTGGTTTCAGTTTACATAGAGTCTCAACCTTAACTAAATTCAACTAAATTGAAATAAAGTAGACTAAACCAAAAAAAAACAAACAGGTTCTCAAAATTGGAGAAAAACAAAAAAAAGTTCGACAAGGAAGCTCCGGGATTTATATTTCTCAAACTAATTGATTATGTTCAAATTTCTCGCATTCGTTTTTTATGTGTAGCGAGTAAAATCTACAACCACTTTAAAAATTTGCAGTTGTTCTTGCTCTTTCAACTTATTAGAAACAATAAAAGAATCAAGGGGAATTATCCGAGGTTTTCTCATGAAACATCCGGGTTCTCATACATTACCGGTCAATAAGATATGAAAAAACACAATTTTCATGTAATTTTCTGCCTATTTGACAATTTTCAGGAGACTATTGCTTTGAAAATTCTAAGAACTTTCAGGAAATTATGTGAATGTGATTTTTTTAATTTAGATTGGCTTAAAAGCCTCCCCGTTTTTCAGAGTGATCGGAAACTTGACAGCCAACCTCCAGACTCCTGAAAATAGTCAAAATGGCAAAAATTTACTGAAGTTTTAGTACATTGAACAGTACTGTAATGGCTTCAGTAGCAATAAGTGCTCCCATCATCAAGTCAACAAGTACAAATAATATTCATCACGCTTTAGAATTGAATCTGACAATGTGAAAAAGCAGCACGTCACAACAAAAAATTTCTAGATTCTCAGAATCCTCGCTCCCTCTTCTTTGTGGAGAGAAAAATACAATTCCTGTTAAAAGACGTGTTAACCAGAAATTGAACAAGAAGCGAAAAAAAAAACAGAGCATTCGAAAATTCACATTTTTATTGTAATTATTGCATAATGCAAATGAGACCAGCAGCAGAAAATTTTGTGAAAAAAAATGTGTGTTTACATATTCTGATGTATAGACCCAATTCCAGAAATTGCGAATTCGTAATTTTCAGTCATTTTTTTCCCCAAAACATGTTCCTCGCTTTCTCTCGAAATAGAAATGTCTGAATTTCGGAGAAGTTGTGGTTTTACCGTTTTTTTGAACTCATAATCATTCTAAAAAATATGAAAGTTGAACGATTCTAAAATTGAAGGATGCAAATCTGGATATCAGATTAGTTCCAAAAATCAAATGAAGTTCTAAGGGTATTTCATCCCAAACCGACCTTCCCTTTCATTTCTCACTTCTCATCCAGATTCTATTCGTCCGCTGTTCTAAAATCTTTTTTTTCTGAATTCTCTGGTGCAAGCCTAATCTGGCAAAGTGGTCCTTGAAAATTTATGTTCAGTCCGAGAAAACGACTGAAACTTGTCAATGCTCCGCCCATTTTCTTCTCTTCTTCTTCTTCGGTTTTTTTTGGTTTGAGGGAGGGCGCAGGGCGAAGAAAAGGATTTGAGCTGGCCTGTCACGCCTCTGACTCTGAATACAAAACGCTTCGTTTTTCCGGATTCCAGTTTTTTTTTTGTTACTGCTTTTTATGAGGTCAGATGAAGATTAGAATAATCTGAGGTGTCAATGGCTATTCGAATTACTTTCTTGTCATCTGCTTTTCCTTTTTCTTTTTGGCCTCAACAAGAGAACAGCATTCTTAAATAAACGAATAAATGATTTTTCCAGAATGAAATAATTATTTTCAGTCTTTTGTCCGCCTCATTGTTGTCCCAGTATCCTATTCCGCCTATTATTGTTATTTGTACTTTTCCTCGCAAGCACAAAAGTACCATTTGGGATTCTGTGAACGATATTGATGATAGAATCTAAATCAACCAGCTCACGCTGTTTTTTTCGAAATTTTAATTTCCTCGCTTCAATTTCTTTTCCTCTCATCTTCATAATTATGTTTTTCATACATATGTGTGTGGTGTCAATTCCACTTTCAAAACACACAGCGTGGGAATTATTATGAGAAAACGTGATTTATTGCAGAAACTGCTATGCAAAAAGAGAGATGCTCAACCATACGGTAGTTATGCGCGAGTGTGAATGTCTTCATGAGCCAATCGAGGGCTACGCCGGGATAGCTAATCTGGTGAGTTGGTAGTTTTAGAGAAATGCACTCTTCGGGTTCATTTTTATGTTCTTTGTTATACTGCTCACTCTGAGGACCCGTGGACCATCATGTCTGCTTTATTAATTCAATTGAAATTTTACCAGACGGTTCTAGTTCGTTTTGAGTCAGAGTTAGATGATATTTCTTCAATCTCGAAGAACAAACCGGAACAAAAAAAAACATTTTGTGTATTCAAAATTTCGGATGTCTGACAAAGGTGTAATTCGATTGTCTGCCCTCCCGACTCGGAAGAACCGAGGTATCTTTCCCAGAAAAAACCACAAATCTTTTCAGTTGCTTATTGTCGTCCTGCTCCCGCTAATTTCTTCGTCGGCGTCGTCCTCAACTTCTTTAACATTTTCATCTTTTGTGAGCAGAAGAACACCGCCGCCAAGTATCTGACGGCACTCTCGTGCAGTGACGTAGGTGAGGAAGAAGCAGATTAAAATAAAAAGTGGAAAGAGCGGTAAAATGAGTAATGAGAACTCGTTCCCCCCGCACCACAAAAAATCCTTTCAACCAGATTAGTCCTGGCACTTTCTGTGATAAGTAAAAAGTGCCTGCTTTCAAAGCTTCCTCATTTTTCAGGAGTATGTATGGCAGGGATCTTCGTCATTTGCTCCGACTCTTTCCGAGCGCACTCATTTGTCATCGACCAAGTCTTTGTGTTTTTACTCCCGAAAATCATCCCACTGGGCCTCTTTTTTCAGGTTTGTTAAAAGAGTTCAAAAATGGTGTAGTTAGCGGTTCATTTTAGAAGGAGGTCATGAAAAATGGGACCCTTGATAACTATTGAAATTTATGTGAGAAATGAAGAAGAAGGAGAATTGACTGCAAAGGAGGGCAACATGATTTCTCCAACTTTTCACCATTTTTGTAGTAAGCAAGGCTTAAAACACAAGTGGGTACTTGTAAATTAGCTATTGTGAGACTCTAGATATTCAGGGATAGAAACAACGATATAGTCTAGAGATCTGGAACAGAAAATTGTTCCAAAAAATGCATGGCTCCAATTATCATTCAATGAGTCATTTAGACGTCTATAGGAATGTGTGGGTGGTAATTTAACAGAAAAATAATACAATACAAAACTTTTATAAACTAAGAAACCCCAACACCTTATAAACCCAGATTTTGATTAAAAACTTCAGAATAAATTAAGCTTTCACTATCAAGATTTCTTAACGTTTCTAAATCTGATCGCCAGTTTCAGCCAAGTTATATCAGTTTCAGTACCGAAACTTGCATTTGCAGTGCAAAACCGCGGTTTTCGAAGACGATTTTCTTGACTTCTAGGAGGTTCCAGAAAAATAGTTTGGAATGTGAAAATTTCATTCAATTCTGTGTATAGCCCAGCTAAACTCATGTTGTGGAATTTCCTCGAAGTTGAGAAAATCGTTTTGAAAATCGCTTCTGCACAGAAAACGCTATTTTCGGTACTGAAATTCATATATCCTGGCTGAAACTGACGAGCGGATTTTAAAATGTCTAGATCGGCTATTCTTAACGTGTTATGAAGTTTTCATATAAATCTCACAAGGTATTGACGTTCCCTTGTCAAAAGAAAAGAAGAGAATGGAAAGCTAAAAATCATATTTCCAGATGCTCAGTGTCTACATCACCGTACTCGCTGCTTTTGATTGTTTCTACTCGGTTTATTGGTATGGACATATTCGGAATTTTTATGTTTCAAAAATTGTATTTTGTAGTGGCACAAAATGTGAACCAAAACGGAGTACATGGGCTCCACGAGTTCTAGCTCTGGTAGTCATTTCTGTGGCTGGATACAACATTGTGCAGTTTGGAGACCTTCAGGTACAGTAACCTTACAGACAGAAGCAAATATAAAAATTTATTTTTTAGGCTATTGAATGCCTCCATACAGACAACTACACACTGTTTGAGCTTTGTCCAACGGAGATGAGAGTCAGTGAAACTTATGTGATTTTGTATAAGTGAGTTTGAACGCAAATTTCTTTGATTGTAAATACTTAATTTCAGAGGTTACTTGTATGCACTTTCCATGGCATTCCTTCCGTTCGTTCTTTTGACCTTCTTGACTGTATCGATTATTGTGATGCTTCGCAAGAAAAACGATTCCATGGATAAGGTTGAAAAACAAGGTGAGTGCTCTTTGTGCCCAAAAATAGAATCCAGAAACCCTATACTGCAAATTTCCTTATTCACCCAGTTGCACATTCATGGAAAATTCTAGAGTATGAGTGTGAATGTGTTATTTCCTCTCATTCTTAACTGAATTATGCATCTTCATAGTGTTTTCATGTGAGCGTATTTTTCATTGTGTTTGCGCTTAAGCCCCGAATGTTTTTTCTTTTTGAACATCTCAAGATAAAGGACCACTGAATGCGGAAATTTGGAAACAAACGGGGCTTTCCCCTAGGGTGGTGGTAATATGTCTGGAGTGACGACGATAATGCGTCTCTCTCTCTCTCTCTCTCTCTCTCTCTCTCTCTCTCTTTCTTTCTCTCTCTCTCTCTCTCTCTCTCTCTCTCTCTCTCTCCCTCTCTCTCTCTCTCTCTCTCCCTCTCTCTGATATTGGAGATGTTTGTTTTGGCTGAAATTCGATAAAAGCTTCTTTAAAAAACTTGAGGATTAGAAGGATTTCTAATAAAGGGACTTAACGATTTTCTATTTTTGATCTTTCAGGTTGCGAAGATGACGGAGGCAATAATCCAGTTGTCCTCCTCTTAGTCGTTCTTTTGTTTCTCTGCTGCAATTTGACATCACTTCTGGTCAATGTCTTTGAAATGCTCAAAATGTGAGTTGAAAACAATCTGAAGCTGAGTTCAATTTTTAAATTTTTCAGAAAACTGTCATTCGAAGTAGAAGCTGTACTTATTGATATTGGAAACTTCCTGGTGGTGATTAATGCAACTGCAAACTTTTTCGTGTATATGGGCTCTTCTGAAGAGTTCCGAGTAGCATTTTATGAGAGAATTCGCAAGTTATGGAGGCCGAAATCTACACGTCTTCCACTTCTTCATGACCACAGAATCCGACTGTTTAATAGGAATCCGGTGGCGAGTAGTATTTGAATCTCCGGTGACACATTTTTTGTCTGTCTTGCCCTTTTCTCTAAAATCTGTTCATTTGATGTAAATTTCCACTTGATCTTCATTAATTTCACGTGTTTTTTTGTCTTGTTTTTGGGTAATTTCTTTTTGTGTACTTTTCATTTAGTTCAACAAAATAAATAATTTTGATGCATACTCAAATCAACAAAAAAATGAATCACAGCTAGAAAGCCAGACCAGTAATAAGCGAACAATAAGGCTGCCAATGGGGTGAGGAGGAATAAACATGATTTGAGCGAAGTGGTGGATGGGATACGAAAAGAAAGAATAACCGGTTTCCTTTTGTATCACAATGATTGTAGCCGGGGACGGAAATGTAAGATATCTTAACTTATACACAGAGATTTACAAAAAATTACACAAAATAGTTAGAAAAAAAAGAAAAAGATAATATTTTTACAATCAATAAGATCGGATAGATCCAAGACCAGTCCATTGATCAGGAACAACAGGGAAGTAGGAGTCAATGGCCTCCGAGAAACGAGCACAGTACATTTCGGGACTGAGGATGGTTGGGAGGTGGGCTCCCGGAATGGCCACAATTTTGACCCATGATTCGAGTTTCTGAAAATAATCTTAAGTTGGTTAAACAAACTCTTCTAACAACCTTATCCAAAGTATATGTTCTCATGTAGTCAACGATTCCAAGAATCAACTCCCCGTTGTCGTCGTCTACACCGACCAGCAAAGAGTAGTCCATGATGGATTGAGAGCTCAGGAAATGGCTGTCATTGCTGATCGCTTGGTTCATGGCCGCTTTTGAGTGGGGAAGAACGTAGAGCTGTTGGTTCCAAAGGTCTTTGACAAAGTTTTCATCGAGCAGCACCATTTCGTTGGGACTTTTGCCGGTCGAGGCGAGGCTGAAAACAGAGAGAGGGTCAACAACCACATTAAATAACTGTAGTTATTTTCCTGTCGACGGTATCACAAGGTGCTTCAAACCCAGATTTGCAGTGAAGCCCCGTAAAACGCATTCGCGCCATGTTCAAAATAGATAAAATAAGCACTGAAATTTCTTTTTTTCTAGTTTTCCGGTTTTTTGGCTCGTTTCTCAGAATATTTCACGCTCAGATTGAAGATTTGATTGACGCAGCTTCACTGTGGGCTATTTTTCAAAATTTTAGTTCGTCCGGAAAAAATTTTTCCGGATTCGCACAATCACCTAATTTTTGGAGCGGTGAACTTCAAATTTTGAACCTTTCTGGTACAACAGCAAAAAGGAAAAAGCTATATTTCGAAGGAAATGAGAAAATAATGAGCTTGAGTGCCAAAATCAGGTCATTTTTTGCCAAAATAGAAAACTGTAAATAACTTTTCTAGAATGGATGAAATTTTTGTAATATAGCACATTCTGAAATTTTCCCGCTCGCCTATCATGACAGTTCGTACTTGTCAAAGAAAAAAAAACTGATTTCTTGGTTCAAGGCAGCCGAAAAAATATTTTCGAAATCTAATTGAACAATTTCATTGAAAACATGAAAGAGTGCTAATAATCTATTTCAGGTTTTCAGTAGCTTATCAGTAAGACTAACCGATTACGCAAAGATCCCTTCAGGTCCCAAACTTGATTGACGTTATGATTATAAAACAGGTATTCCATAACCAGAATGTCCACCTTTAGTGTAGTGGTCTTGCTCTTATATCCAATTCTGAACACTCCGTAAACTTTGCACAGCGTTGTCAACTTGCTCTCTGTTGCCGAAGTAGTCAGATAGTCAAAGTAGTTTGGAGCGAACTTCACAAACGACTGAATCTCAAACCGAGACATTTGTTTAACCACAAAGCGATCATCTTGGGTACGGTAGAAAAATGATCCAGACTTTCCTCCTTGTGGCGTCCAGAAAGTGCTTTTGGATAGTGAGCGAATGAATGTTTCCTCTCCTTCAGCGATGAGAAGTTCACGAAGCTTCCGGAATTTTTCGGCATAGAACATCTGAAATATCAAGTTGTTATTGTCGATGAAAAGATTGTAGATGAAAAATGAATAGAAAGTGGTCTAGACAGGGAATCCATCAAAAACAATCACTTGAAGTTGAATGAAAGTCCCACATATTAGGTTGTTCAATAAATAGTGGTCACTTTTCTTCAAGTAGTTTTTTCTTCAAGGAAAACAAGAATCATTGAGAAATTATTTCGCCATTGGAGTTCATAACTTCTTGCCAGCGCAACGGAAGTTGGGCAATTCCTTCGCGTAGAACTCTGGCGACTTAGAGGCAAAACAGTGTTCCAAAAATTTCTTGACATCCTTCCGATCATGGACTTTCTCACCAGCAAGACGATTCTGGAGAAATCGGATATGGTAGTAATTAGCTAGTGCCAGGTCGGCGGTGTACGATGGGCAATGCAAAACTTCGATTCCTAGAAGATGGAGTTTGTAACGGCTCTTCGAATATTCGTGTGGTTTTTCGTTGTCATGCAAAAATTTCAACACTGAGCCTCTCTAGAGGTGAGAGCGATGTGCATAAATACCACTTTCTATTTGAAAGCAGTAGAGCCAAAGTTGATGACATAGGAATCCGGAAGCAGCTTGCGGTGTTTTACTTCAGCACTGTCTAACCGAATCGGAGACCGATTCCACCGTTTCCTTTGCAGAGAGCCATAGGTGCTTACTGGCATTGTTAACATACAGTACCCGTTCATCATCTCCAATGATTGTTTTGTTGACCCAGTCCGTCGTCGGTTTCCTGGAGAGGAGATAAACGGACAGGTCTCATCGGACCTTTTTCTAAAAATTGGTCAAAATGTGGGGAACGATTTTATCGACTCTCCGAGCTCTTCCCGTTTGAGGAACATGATCTGTTACGGTGCTATTAGGATGTTGGGCTGTCAAAGATAATGCACGCAAAATAGCACAGAGCTTTTCCTCCAGTATCATTAAAATATTTTCATTTTTATTAAGGCTAGGCCTTTTGGGTATTGGTTTATGATCCAGATCATAATTTTCTTATACGAATCTTTTGAACCAAGGTCGTTGTTCGAGAGACCTTGAGACATATGATCAAAGAAACACTTTTGAGTATGTGTCCGTTATCGAGAAAATCCTCGGCCGTTAGACAGTCCATTCGGAATTTTTAAATGTCTACTAAACATGCAATGTGTGACATCTATAAATATAAAAATAGAATTGAAAAAAAAACCCAAAATTGGATAAGCAACGGTAGAGCGAAGTGAAAGTGACCACTATTTATTGAACAACCTAATAAGTGCGTTCACTCACCTTAACATAATATGAAGCTGATTCGTCCTCAAATTCGACTTCTAGATGTTGAGGGGACGCCAAGTTCTCTCCATCATCAGCTGGGATATCCTTCAGAGAAGATGTGGAAGAGTCTACGGAAATTGTGTCCGCCTGGTCCGGAACTTTGTTGTAGTCTACTGCAGACAACGCATAAGCAATAATGCTACCAATGTCAGGCTTATAGTTGCCACGTGTGTCCTGAATGTCACGGACAACGACTCCGAGTCGTGGTTGAAGCTTGATGGAGAGATGGAGGTACGATGGGAAAGGATTCTCCAACTTTTGAAGGGTAACAATCTCTTGAATATCCTCTGGCGACTTTCTTGGGTACTTGATGGTCATACAATTTTCGTTCCATAAAGTGATCAAGTTGTAGGTGACTTCTCGAACCTTCATAAAAGTGCCATCCACTTCCCGATAGAGTCGATCATTGGAAAGAATCAATTCTTCATCTCCATTCAGGATACTTTTGGCGAACATACGACTTTCGCTGGCAAGTGACATCGTGTTTCGAATTGCCGCAGCAAGTTTGACAACAGCCGGAGTCACTTGAAGTTCTTCGTCGAGTTCTGCCAATTGTTTATTGGTGTCTTCACATGCTTGCAGAGCAAGTGTAGCAATTCTACCAATATCATCTCCAAGATCTTTTCTGCTAATTTTCTGAACCTTCACATTGCAAATAATTGGTGAGAAGACGACGCTATATGGGCTGATCTCAAAAAAAAGCATTTATAATTCTTTCAATTCTTTAGAAACTTACAGCAATAACTTTGAAAGTGGTCACCAGATTTTCCATTGCAAAGAAATACAATTTCTCGTGGAAGAAACAGTGGGAGCACTGCTTTTGTGTGCTGATCGGATAGATAGTGTCAGTTGTGAAGCATGAGTTGCCAATGTACTCCAGGAACTTTGCAAAGGACAGATGCCAGATTGCCTTGTCGAACTTTACCATTTGAGACGAGCAGTTGCACTTTCCACAGTTTCTCCACGTCACGATACCCTTCTGCTGGTCATTTTCCAATGAATTGTCAGATTCTGCCACAGTTTGAGTAGAGATCTCCACACAAACTCTTCCATAAACCAATTTTCTCGAGTGATCCATCATTGGAACTTCACAATTTGACGATGGACATTCGTAACCTCGATTGAAGCAGTACTTGACCAAGAACTCTCCGAGTGTCATGTCATGATCATTGTAGTATTGCATACTGACCACCCAAGGGCGAACACAAAAGTATGGGGCGTTTGGAGATTTTCGAGAGAACGATCCGAAAAGAACTGCAAGGGTTTGATGAACTCGAGGATCCAAAACATCTTTTGCACGGAATGTTGGCTTTTCTGTCTCCTCCACTTTTCTATTCTCCACAATCTGTGCAGCTCTTCGACGGAAGTTGAGCCCTCCAAAGAGTCTAAATGACTTTGCCAATCCTGTGAGTGCTGCGCCTCGATTACAATTCGCCATCGCGTGTCGAAGCCCAACAGCGACTTTTTCTTTCTGCTTAACGGGTGAAACATCTTCTTCATATCCTTCCTTAATGAGTTCCACATCGCCAGCCTTCAAAAGTTTGTATAGCGGCTGCTTGAAATAAGCAATGAGTGGGCATTCTCTGTAAAAACAAAATTTGAAATCCTGACTTTTTTATTTTGAATGTCCGCAATGTGCACTATCATGTGTGCGTGTTTGCGGATGGGGTGTTTTTTTTTTGGTTTATTTCTGTTGTTTTTTTAACTCACCTTCCGATAGCAGTCTCCAAAAACGGCGGCTCAAATTCAATCACTGGAGAGCTTGATAAAATCGTTGCGTAGAGATTCTGCTCAAACTCTGTCTAAAATAACTTGACTATTATCGTCTCTGAGTAATATTTTTCATACCTTGACTCCTTGTGAATACACAATTGCTCGTCGTTTTTCACAAACAATGCAATCCGACTGTCTCCTTGCAATAGTGGTGTTGAAAGCGTTCAAGTAAGACTGCTCGAGATAATTCGAGTAGACCACAGTGATCAAAAACTGGACAACTCTCTTCACTGCCACCAGTTCCTTAAAATCGTCACCATGAAGAAGAATTGTGCATCCGACTTCTTTCTGGCAGTCTCCAAAGACCATCACTGTCTTAATTCTTCCGTCCTCCTGGAAAAGATTTCTCTGCTCAAAGTCTGGACAGCAACCGAGGTTTTGCTCAACGAGTTGAGCATCAGAATTAGAGACGATGTCTGCTCCAGTGGCTCTTGCTACTCGTTGAAGGATGCTCATTTTCACATTGACTGCAACTTTGACGCCTCTTGCATTAAGAAGTTGAGCGGCGATTCGAGAGACTCCACCTTCGACGAGAATCAGTGAAGCGCGTTTTGTGGCAATTCGATCGATCTGTAAAAATGTTTATTTGATTGAAGAATTTATAAACAGAAATCTAGAGTCTAGTAATGAACCCCATGCTCACCTGCTTCTCCAAAAACTTTTCCTCTTGAACAATGATCGGTTCAATCGACGACAATTTATTGGAAACTCTTTCATACTCGATTGATCCACTGACTATCATCACTGACTCTGTTGTCTTGCTCTCACTTTCTCCATCCACGGACCCGTACAATAAACTCTTACTGCATGCCACACCCCAAATGATTTCCGAATCAATTTTTCCTCCATTCACATGAATCTTTTTCACATGTACGTAGTCTGCCAGGTTCATAGAATCGCCACCTTGCACATTGACTTCCACATTTTGTACCACTTCATTCACTGTCTTTAAAATCAGGTCTCTCCATTTGTCTTCTCTGATGTATTCACGTTTCAGCACTTCGTCGAGAATTCGTTCGGTGTTCTGACGGAAGAACTCCTCTAGATTGTCTCTTTGTTCTTCTTTGGCTGCATTCATGACAGACTCATCGAGTGATAACGATGGGAATGTGATTTTGCGATCAGAAGCAGATGGCGTCTGATCCCCAGAGCGGGCATCCATCATATCGGTGGTGATAGCTCCAGCGAGATTTGCATACGCAAAGACGTCTGCAGAGTCAGAGATCTGCAAATCGGAATAGTAAAGTCAGAATAGCAAATCGGAATAGTACAAATAAAGTACTGATAATTTAGCAATGAGCAAGTTTTTCCTCAATCACCTCATTATTGATAACACCATCCATTCCAGGATTCATTGTACGGAACCAGTCGGGGCCTGACTCTTCTTCCTCAGTGATCATCGGATGAGCATGGTTGTTGCTGTTGAGCATTGCAGAGTTAGATGCACAGAGATCAGCTACAGAGAGGATTGTAGGGATTCCTGGACCAGAGCTGCTAGGGACTAGAGAGTTCCGACGACTGCTGTTGATTTGACCGGAGGCAGATGTGACATCGGTAGAGATTGAGGATTCCGGAGGGCACAGAGCCCAGATGGCGCCTGGGAAAATGTGAGTTGAGTTTATCTCAAAAACCAATTCTTTATTTTATTCAAACAAAAATGCTCCAAGACGGTTGAACTTTTGACATATTTCGATTTTTGCAAGCTTTAAAATGGGCCATAAATGTTTTGATGTGAATCGTGCAGAAAGGCTAATGTGTGGCACATAATTCAGAGCATACAAAAATGTTTGGGTCCTTGGGTTACAAAGTAATTTGGGTGTACAAAATACCTGAAATGGCTAATTTCGTACCTAAAATCGTTGTACCCAACGAACTATATGCCTCTAAATATCTCATTTTTTCAGCAAAGCCTCACCATTCGACACTGTTTTCACTGTATCCGAGTTCTTGTGTCCACTGCTCTTATCATAACTGATTTTCCGACCATTAACTGGAGTTTGTGCCCTTCCTCCCGATGGCGTAGTTTTTCCATCCTCCGCCAATCGTTGCACTTTGCGAGCGCAATAATCACACAGTCGAAGTTCTCCCATGTATCCCAACGCGGCGCCGTCAATGTGACTGCTGCAGCACTTTGCACAGAAGATTTGTCCACAAAGTCGGCAGTGATGACGTCGGCGAAACGTTGTGAAACGCTCTTCGCATTGGTAACACTCTCTTCCCGTTGAGTCAGGCATCCAGTATTGCTCTGAAAATGGAAATCATTGACGTCAAGAGCGAGGAAAAATCTAAAAAAAATCAATAACTCACTAAAATTACTATCGTTGTAGTCTTTCAGGTTGGGATTCTTCTTTGTTTTCAGCAATTCACTGAACTTCTCCGTCAATGAACGTTGGAAGCCACTCTCTTCAGAACTGCGGGACTCTAAAAACAATTTTTTGGTCATAAATTCCACGAACATTTATTAATTTCTGCTAGAAATTGGAAATTTTTCTCAGAAAATCACTTTTTGACATGTTAAAATCAATAAAAACTCACCATCGGACTCAGTTCGCTCAAGATTTCGCCGATCTTCCGACGTACTAGCCACACCATTTGTTTGCGGTGTCCCATCGCTGCGGAAAATTTGCCCAATAAAGTTTGAGAAATAACCACCTGAAACGACTATTCCTTTTTTGTTAGCTTCTATTCGATTATAGCAATATTCACTCACCGGCTGCTGGAACCGTTTCCTCTTCTTCGGGTGGCGGTTCGAGTTTTTCAAAAAATTGCAACTCGCTGCCATCGGTCATTACGCTGGAATAAACCAGTGTTGGACGTAGCTAAGACTATTGGAAAGGATAAAAATAAAATAAAATACTAGCAGTTTAAATGAGTGACTGAGAATGGGGACATCCGATTGTAAAACATGGAGAGAAAGAAAGATCAAACCATCAAAACAGGTCAGGTCGGCAATCGAGGCGCAACACTAGTGACGAGTGAGTGCGCGCGTCGAAGAGGGTGTCTCATTAGGGCGCGCTTACCTACCTCCCCTAGTTTTTGTGCGCGCATCTAATTTATGGGGGAATGTCAGGGCAAGTCTGAAGATTATTAAGATTTTCATGGTGTTAGTCTAACTAGCAAATAAGAAAAGATCAAATTGTCCATGTAATTTTGTTAAGAAAGTAGAGGGGACAAAAATCACATTTTGTGTGTCGACTTGGCCCATATTCTGTGAGAATAAACCAAGAAGAAAAGAGCGAGGTGAGTCTTCTGTCAGAAACAATCGGATTGGACACCAAAAATCAATATTGCGCGGCGGACCACTAGACAACAAACACAATGATGGTGACGCAACGATTGCGGTTGTAACAGTGAAGTATTATCGAGGACCGATAGGACAATTGTGTCTCCGCCATAAAGGCGTTCTCGCGAATGGATTTTGAGACTGCTCATAATCTGGAACCGCCCACGAATTTGCTCGGCTAGAATTAGTCAGGATTTTCGGTTTATGGAAACTGAAGAAACTGAAAATTGAAGGGAAATCGAAGGAAAATACGAAAATAATGCAGTGTCAAAGTAAAAAAAAATGGAGTTGTACTGGATCACAAAAGGAAGAAATGTCGTTTGTTAAAAATTAAAATTTCGACGATTTTCGAGTTTCTTTGAAACTTCAGGAGTGCCCATTTCAGGACACATCTTGACTGGTTTTATTAGCACAGCTGAGTATATTTCAAAACTTTTCAAAGGTTTTTCAAAGTTCAACACGGCTGGAATCCAATCTAAATTGTTCTGAAAGCCCATCTTCATAAAATCCTTACCAAGAATCTGTATTTACAGTAGCGGTCAATAAGATACACAAAATGTATTTTTCTGTGGATTTTGGCTCATTTTGACAATTTTCAGGAGTCTGGAACACGGCTTTCAAGTTTCCAATCATTCCGTTTTTCAGTTATTCGTCGAGTTCTGAAAGTCACCTTTTTTTGCACCATTTTTGTACGTAAACCCTAGAAAAACAGGCGTCTTTCAGAACACACAAATTACTGAAAACTGAGAATTTGCGAAAAATTCTGTGAAAGCTAAGTTTTCAATTCAAGTCTGTTTTACACCCTCCAGAATGTTTTTATTCATCGAAAATTGATAGTCTAGCAGACTCTCGAAATGCTCAAAACTGCCGTAATACACAAAACAGAAAACACGTTTTTTACTTATTGACTTGTACTGTATATTCTATTTGGATGTCTTCAAAACTAGCATCGACAAAAGTTTTTTAAAAGTTTTTTATTTCATTTCCACTATTTGGAGTACGAAATTCGTATGTTACACAATTTCAATGTCCCTCTATCTCCAGTTTCTTCTAACTGATTCTAACTGAACTTCTTCGGCACAGATGATCCTGCTGACCCTTCCTTCCCATCGCTGTCAACTAGTGGTCTTTGGGCATCAAAAAAGAATGAGCCCCCCACACCAAAAACTTTGGTGATGCCGCCTGCCCCCAAGTGAATTCTCGGCGAATATTTATCTCTTTGCCGACACCCCCTTTTCTTCCGTTTCCTCTATTGGGACCATCTCATTTTTCAAATCGCCACTCCTCCCCCTGCCGCGCAACCTTCCCAAAGCTTGTTGCCATTTTCTGATTTTTGAGTTTCCTACTATATTATTATTTCCTGAGATGAGTTTTTCAAAAGAAGAAGAAAAAGACGCGATGCCGTTTGATCGTATCACTGGAAGAGTTCGTGGCTCGGTCAATATGATTGATATTGAGAGAAATGTGGAATGGGTGGAAGTTAGTGGAAGATGGAGTCGTATGTCGGTAAGTAAAGAAAAAACTTACATTATCTCTCTTCCAATTTCCACATCATCATAAGCAATAGACGATTTCGCAGGGTTGATACTCTGAAAACCTATAATTACTAGTCTGCATTTTCAGTTAAAAAACCTACAGCTCGCATCCATGATAATAGCTGTCGGCTAACATAGTTGAATATTGAGATTTGACTCTTCGAGTTGACAGTGTCTGAGTGTCGAAGTTTCGGGAAATAGAAAACGTAGCGCCTTGCTTCTTCTTCTCTGGTGTTCATCATTCCACGTGTTTCAGGCCTAAAAATGGCAGGAAAAGGAGAGGAAGAGTGGAGAATCAGTACAAAAAAGATAAAGCAAACAAATATGTTTGTTCAGTGTCGTGCTCATTACAAATTCATAACATGGAAAAATGATTGATTGCAGGTGATGGGAACTTCGTTGAGTTCTGAAGTGTTGGCAGTTGAGAATCAGGGAGAGAAGGATGACAGGATCATCATTTTCATGATTCCAGGTTGGAAATCGAAAAAAGTGTTGTTTTGAACTGCAATGATTTTGTTTATGCAACATGATATGTTTTTATGTAGATCGTGTTCTGGCAGAGATGGACGGTGGGGAATGAATAATCATGATTTGTCATTTTTCATCCTAATCTGTACTGTTTCAAAAACATTCCGCAAATATTCTGAGAGAAGCCCACCTTATACATTCTACGTTGAGCTCAATAACCTCGGTTCCTTCAGAAGATATCAAAAATTCGTCAACTGAAAATGATTTAATTCTTTTTTCAACATGTTATCAGATGACAAATTTCTGATATCCTTTGTAGGTAACGAGATAATTGTGTTTAAAAGGAACGTACAGTACCGGTCCATAGAATATAAAAAATGTGTTTTTCAGTTGGTTTGGACCATTTTCATGAGTGCAGTTCGGCTGTCAAGTTTCCGATCACCTTCAAAATTAGGGGGGGGGGCGTAAACAAACCTACACTGACGGACATATTTTCATAATTTTTGAAAATTCCTAGTGTTTCAGTTATTTTCGGATTTCTGAAAAACATCTGCTTTTTAAGTTTTTAGCACAAAAACAAGTCATAATGACTCCTGAAATTTGTAAAAAAAACCGTCAATAAACTTGTGAATGCGCTTTTCTATATATCTTCTCTGACCGGTACTGTATGTAAAGGCTTCAAAATCCTTTCTCAAAATATGAAATTTCAAATTATCAAGTTTCTATTTATGGAACACTTCTTTTGAAAACATGCATCCCATGATCCGTTCTGATGGTCTTGTCATGTCATGCACTTTCATCCATCAATCATGTTTGCCTTCTCCTTTTTCTGTGTTTTGTTCTTCTGGTCTCATAAAATTCATTTTTTCAGGAAATCCTGGTAATGATGGTTTCTACACGGACTTTGGCAGGCGCCTGATCCGTAATCTAATTGCTCGTGAAGAACGTCTTGGTCACAGACGTGTCAACTTCCTATTTTACACATTGTCCCATTTGAACCATGTTCTTCTTCCACCAGCGCTCCGTTGTTCCAACACCCACAAAGTCAACGGTACGTTGACAATTTTTCTTTTTAGAATAGACCCAAGGGAAAAAGTGATGCTTGGTGTTGGACCTTAAGGAGGCGACTTCGAACCCACCCTCATCAAAAAGAAAACTCAAAGTAACGAACCATGAGATGACGTTGCAGAGAGATTCAGTCTGGGTGACCAAGTGCAGCACAAATTGGATTTTGTTAAGGAGTACCTTCCAAGAGGAAACAGAGTCTTTATGTTTGGACATGGCGCCGGAGCTTACATGTTGTTGAGCATTCTACCGTATATCAAAGATGATTTCAACTTGAGAAAAGCGGTTTGCTTGTTCCCAACCATTGAGAGAATGACCGAGTCGCCACATGGGATACGGTTGAAGAAGGTGGTGTCGGTAATAAACAAACTTGTGGAAAACTATAGAAAATTCAAAATTTAGACTCTTCGACAGAACGATTGGCTTGCTCGTACTCTTTCTTTTTGGGTTGATCTTATGCCAGAATCTCTCAAACGTCGTATAATCTCAATGAAGCTAACTTCTGATCAGGTATAAAGCAGTTATTGTTTAAAATTTCAAACATTTAAAGTTTCCAGACCTCTCCCGAACTTGTTGATTCAATTTCTGAACTTCTTCACATGCATGTCTTCCGCAACATAGTACACCTCTGCAATGATGAGCTCGATAAGGTGTGACAACTTTATTCCACCTAATCTCATCATCGGCTCCTATAATGTTCTTAACTTTCAGATTGGCACTTTGGATGAGACTCTGCTGTTTCACAGAAATCTCATATACTTCTACTATGGAAAAAACGACGGATGGTGTCCAATTGAGCAAGGAGAGCGAATGAGCGAACGGTTGACACGTGGACATGTTGTTCTGGAGAAAGATAATGTGGAACACTCCTTTGTGTTCAGAGATGCTGCAACAATGGCTGAAAAGGTCATGCAGTTCATTGTTTGAAAATTTTTCCTAACCTCAATCGCTCATCTTTCTCCCTTCTGCTTTTATGCTTTAATTTTTTTCTCTTCTGAACAATAAAAATGCAAGTATCTGTACAATTGCTCGACGGCAACTACTCACGTTGCAACTTATTAACCGTTATCAATAATCATTGACCGACACGCAAACCTCAATGGAAACATTTGACAGAGATGGAGCTGAAAATTTAGGAATGTCTAGTTTAGTATGCTGGTCGGAAAGACAAAATGTTTGCATCCTGTTTCAAGAAAGTTGTCTTTTACAAAAGCAGTCTAGTTTGTTTCCAACAATTTTGCGGATTATATACAGAAAATTGGATGTTTGAAGATAAAATATATATAGAATATAAAAATTGCACCGACATATTTTTGAATTTGTCTTTCTTCAAAAAGAGATTCCAACAATAGAAACATTGTGTTTTAGAAACGGAAGACACTTGTTACATTGCATACCATAAATCTTATGATTGAACGCTGAACTCACTTTGAGCTGAATTATCTCGTTTTACTAAAGCGGTATCGAATTATTTCAACAGAAAAATGTTTTTCAAATTATCACAAACAATTTTATAGTTTTCAAAATGTTTATATCTTCAACATAATTGAATATAATTGAGTAGTATGGCGGTTTATAAGAGCTTTTTTTGCATATACAGCCTGGGTTTCTATCTGCTAGTTTTTATCCATATTAGATTTGTTCCATTTTTACAGTAACCGTCTCTTGGAAATCAGGACGTTACATGTTTCATTTCCAATGTATGCGTCTCTGAAAGATTATTGTTGTCACTCTTAACATGACTTGCGATATTCTCGTAAAACTTTTGATATTAAGAACATTTTTCTTTAGTACTTATCAAATGTGCGCTTCTGAAATACAATGTAGCGTTATGATAACTATGCAGTTCAACCACACGCGTGATAACCATTTTGTTATCATCACCGAGAAGCATGATATAGAAGCGGGAATAATTCAAAGATTGACGAATCTTTTATTCCCTGCATAGGTCAGATTGTTGTAAGCTGAACAGAGTTAACGTGGTCAAGAACTCCAAAGGAAAATTAACTCCGAGAATGAACCTGTAAGTCAGAAATCCCTTTCAGACTTCGTTGTTACATTTGAAGATCATATGTGGATTCCATCCTTTTGTTCATGATTCAATTTGTCGAAATTGCTGAAATATTCTTTTTTACATTTCAATCAAACATCGAAAATTGAGAACAGTGACAAATACGAATTTTCCACCACTTGCTTGCCGAAAGTATAGTCTTGGATACTCTGGTCACGGAAAACACAAACATGGTACACATTCACTTGGTTTTAAATTGGTTGGCAATTCATTTACTGAAACTGGAAATTTTGAATGCGAAGACAACAGGAAAAAGAAAAGTTATTAAAATGGGAAATTTGAGAATGTTTTAGGTCTATCAAAAACTAATCAGACAAATGGATCAAATAATACAGTAGAAACTATTGAAATAATGCACGAATGAAACATGTGAACATCTTGAAACCTGGACTGATAAGTGCTGCAATGGGATTATCGTCTAATTTTTAACTTATGTGTTACCTCCAGGAATAAAGACATTGTCACCTTGATAGTATGTCTGGAGAGCACTAATAGAATCACAAATCACCGTTTTTTTTTTGTCAGTAAGGACGTATTCATTGAGAAAAAGTTTATTTTCATCGCTTTCGTAGTTCGGGTGCTCTGGGTCTATCAAATATAGATTACAGGCACTATATCGAAATTCAATTCCGCATGATAAAGGGATGTTTCATACAAATCAGTTCAATTTCAAGTCTTTTGGTTATGTTCGAATGTTGCAGCTAACCAGGCATACTACGTTCGCAAATTGTATTAATCAAATTGTTTGCATACAAACCCAGGTAATATATATATATATGGAACTATCTTCAATGTTTTTCAACTCGCAACAGCAATATTTAATTTGTTTGGAGCTACTTTGATTGGTTATCCATTTTTTTTATTGACCTGAATTTCTTCATTTTTGATTTCTGACCGAGCAAAGTTTTTGGTCTAAAGAACATCTTGGTTCTCAAAAACATGATAAAAACTTTTATGGTGCCAAAGAGAACTATTCCAGGAGTGTTGTCTTATCGCCATGAGTTTTCCTCCATTTATTGCAACAACAATTCTGCCAAAACGTGGTTGACACCCGTTGCCAACATCGCTATCAAAATCTGAAATACATAAAACAGTGTGTAAAACAAGGGTCGTGACTGATATTGCCATCAAGCAGTTTCAATTGGACAATTTTTGATTGGAAACCGAATGAAAAAGAGCAGGAGGAGGTGGAGAGGGAGGAAAAAGCAAAATTGTGTGCCAGAGAGGTTGGTCTCTGTAAAGGGAAAAATGATAAGCGTCGGAGTGCAGACTGACGGATTGGCGGTATTGGTGGTGTGCTTACTGAAGGCGACTACTGGTACAAGATGAGGTTATTTGTGACAATTATTCTAGCCGCCGTTATTCTCTTAGTTTTTGCTCTAGGTATATTTTTATTAATTCCTTTCCCTATTGCTATCTTTCAATCTATCGTCGATTCTCAAGTTTACCTTCAGTAAGTTTTCCTAGTATTTTGAATTCAACTGTTTGATGAAAATCACCTACGAATTAAAAGCTAAAAAGCAGGAGTTTTAAAAATGACTGGAAATTTTTCGAACAGGGATGACATACCGTAAACCTGAAATAGGAGAACCCACTAGCTGTCAACTTTGAGTCATTTTCTGGTTTCCCGTCGGATAAAGCATGAATTAATTAACTGACAGAATGTTTATCATAATATTGTAAACATTTTGTCAGTTGAGTTTATTTTGATATTTCTCACAGAAACGGAGATAACAACGGTAAAATACGCCCTTTTTTTGTGGGCCCCTTCTATTACAAGTGTCACGGTTCTTCTATTTGATATTTGAGAAAGATTTTAAAAATTGCTAACGGTCAAAACATTTATGAAAAAGTTGTTTGCCAGTTAATCATTATCATGTAGACCTCACGGGGACCAAAATAAATTGAATCAAACTTTGACGTTACCGCGGGCATTTATGACATCTTTTTTCAGAAAAAAATCCGACGGCCAATACCCCACGGGTACATTCTACTGGTCAAAAATCCCAGCCACTCAAATATGGACATTCCATCTTTTTAATGTCACTAATCCCGATGAGGTCTTATATAATGGCGCCACTCCTGCCATGCTCGAAATCGGACCATATACCTACGCGTAAGTTGGATTGATTGACGCGTTCTTTGACGTTAATTTCTTCCTGATTTCTGTTCTTTTGCTGTAAATTTGTAATGTGATAAGCATAATAGCGGTGCCTAACCATTATTGATGAAAAACTAGAATTTGTGCTGTGATAAAAGTCAAAATAGTGTTGAAGGGAAAGAGATTGAGAAAGCTGTAAAATAGCAATAAATGTTTTTCATTGCAACTGAAATGATATTTATATGAGATTTGATGAGTTTAAAGCGCAAAAGTTTGTGGAACATCGGAAAATCAAACGACATTCTGTTCTTACACATTTTGATCTCTGAATTAAGCAATAAACTCTCATTTCTTTCTTATCGTTACTATTTCGTGTTTTTTGTACCTCTAATATTCAAACCATAACTCAAAAATGTGTGTTTCATGCGACTAATACAAACACACTGACGAAATTCCAAACTGATTTCGAGAACTACTAATGCTTTTAAACTATTTTTTGATTTTTTCAGCGAAACGGAATTCAAAGACTATATTGAGTTCCGGAACAATGATAAAGAAATTTACTACATGAATAATAAGACATGGGTAAGGATTCGAATATTTTGGCGTGATCAGTGAGGTGTAATTCCAGGTTTTCGACCCAACTCGCTCTTGTGATACTTGCTACCAAAATGATAGTGTTCAATTTGGAAACACCGCCTATATGGTAAGACTGTAATTTTGAAGACAATTCATAATGCGGGAAAACTTTTAGAGTACTGTTTTCATGCAACTTTATAACCCTGCTGGACCTGTTGTTGGACTTGGTATGGATATCCTAGCTATGTTGCTTGGCGAACAACCAATAAGGTAAATTTCTTTTAAAGCTCATACATAAATCACTGTTTCCTTATTTTTAGAACAGTATCAGCTGCCGGAACTCTTTTCGACGGCTACAATGACCCCTTTATCACTTTGATTAACAGTCCGCTTACCAAGGTACACCCTTCTAAACTGTTCCAGTTTCTTTGAAAAAGGAACAAAAATCGTGGCATGATAAAAAGATTACAAAACAAACCATAAGACTAAGATGATTATAGAATCTGCTGGCGATATTAGGAAACCCCATTCAACTTCCTCAAGTTCCAATGGGTGGCTTCTTCCCACAGGTATTTTGGTAATTAATTTCTGACTGAAACAATATTTTTGTTTTTTTAGTACAGTCACACCTCCGATGGAAACTATACAATCAGAACTGGAAAAGACAACACTGACTAGTATGTTTGAAACTGAAGAGACAAACAGAATTAAGTTGTTTTCAGCACCGGGCAAATAACATCATGGAATGGAATGACACATTTGCCATGGTGGAAGGATGAAAAAATTGCTGACGTTCGGGGATCGTGTGACGGAACTATTCAGAAGCCGGGAATTCAGAAAAAAGACTCTGTCGTTCAGTTCCAATCGTTTTTGTGCAGGTATTTTCAAACGAACCATCTCAATTCAGCTTTATATGTTTAGAAAATATAATCTTCACTACCACGAGAGCAAAACAGTAAACTCCATTCCAACTTATGGATTCAAAGTTGAAGATGATTCATATGACGCCATCAAGATGCCTGGATATCGCTACGGTAATGTTGAAAAAGTGGTAAGTTTCCTTGCGTTATAATTTATGATCAGCAACTATAAATAAATGTTTAGAATTATTTCCCAAACTGGCCATGCGGTCCAAACCACACAAGAACTGATAACGGAAACTGCGCTCAAATTGATTGCAACCAATACGACAACTTTTGTAACACATGTTGTGATGGTGCACATGTCAATGGAACCTATATCATGCCACAGGGAATGGTACCAGCACAATGTATCCCGGGACAAAACATTCCATTGCCATTCGGAGCGATTCTGTCGGCACCCCACTTTTATGGAGCACCGCAAGAGGTGACAAACGCAATGATTGGAATTAGGCCAATTCCGGAGAAACACAATCCAGGGACCTTCTATATCAACCCGGTATGAATCCATAGAAAGAAAATTAAGAGATATTAAAGCATTTTAGACAACCGGAAGTACTATTGGGGGAACATTCCGAATGATGTTGTCAATTCCAGTGTTCAAATCGTTATCTTGGACGTAAGATATCAAAGACAAGATTCTAAAAACTGAAAAATGCTATATTATAGAACCATGTCAAATGTCCCCAATGCTCTCCTACCTGCATTTGCTCTGGAAATTGGAGTAGTGATGAAAGATTATGCTGTCAATTACATTTACTTTAACACCGTAACCGTTCCAAATATCATTCTCGGTGTGGGAATTGGTCTCACAGCTGTTTCACTGATAGCTGTGCTCATATGGGGCTTTTGTTATTTCCGTACGAAACGAAATCAGAAGCCATTTGTCTTACAGCAACACAGAACCGAGCCAACATGGAGTCTAGCTGAATGATAATAGTTCAATATTATTATTTATTCTATTTTGTAAATTTCGGTATCGTTTTCTCAAAATGCATAAATAAACCACACTAGTATATACAAAATGCTATGAGACTATCGTTGATTGTGACGAAAAACAATTGAATGTGACATGGATTAAAGCAAAATAAAACAGTAGTTCGATGTACATAAATGCTCGTAAAGTACAAAGCGTATGAACAGGAGAAGATGAGTTACAAAATACTCGTGAATATGTGAAAGTTTGGTGTAGAAAGTTCGGTTTTAATGGTAGAAAAAGTATTAATACAATGGGATCAACGTCGGAGGTAGTTGTATGCAATATGAAGAACGGCTCCAATCAACATCAACAGAAGACCCTTTTCTCTTCGCTTTTGTGCTACAATTTGGCTTTCCAGTACTCCAAGTCGGTTCACCAGGCCAACTGAAAACGAAAATTTGATATCGAAATTAAATTCGATTTACCTGAAAAACGTTCAAGTTTCAAATCTAGGTTTATGTTCAAACAATTTTTTTACGAAACAGCTCGGCTAGTTTGAGCCGGCCGCGGATTTCACAATTTTTCTTCTTGTTCAGCCGGCCATGGCACAACCTTGTCTGCCAGGAATTTGAGCTAATCATGCCCAACTCGCATTAAAAATTCCAGATGAGAAAGTTCTGATGAGCAAGAAATTCCAGATGAGCAAGTTCTCATTTCCTTTTTTGTTGAATATATTTTGCCACTCACCCATTCGTTTCTGCATCAACTTGACTTCTTCGTATGGATTCGCTACATTTGATGATTCTAGTGATGGCGGAACCACCTGAAAAATCCAATTTTATCCATGAATCATCTAAAACAAACTCACCATTTTTTGATTATTGTTGTGATTCATTAAATCTTCAGAAAGGTCGAACACGTTGAGATGGTTTGGAACTTCCATTCGTAGAGACTGCAATTTTAGAACCTTTTGAATTTTTTGCAGAACAAAAGTAGTACTCACAGCTGATCGAAACACTCTTCGCTCTTCTGGAACAAATGTCGAATTTCCATTAATTGTGATGTGCTCCGGAACACTCATTTTTTCTAAAACTGCTTTTCTGGTCGACTCGAATTTATTCATCTGAAATATTTTAACTTGACTTGATAAATATGGTTTACCAAAGAATATCTATATTTTAGATCAGTCCTCAGTTTGAAAGTTTCGGTCTCGTTTTTAACCGAAGACCCATCTATGTAGTTTGATTAGTATGACTTTCCTACAGACAAGAACTCCACCATACGTATGCAACAAAAGATTCATAAACAAATAACTACTAAAGAATGTTTCGCAACATCTCTCTTCTATATCCCTCAAGAGGAAAACGCAATGCATTTTTCATATTACTACGTCTCGTCTCTTGGGGGGATGCCAAGACATGCATTCCCGTCTTTATGTAACAAAAATGTCGCTCACCAGCCTATTGAAAGGGTCAATCTGCATGAGGTCGGCACCTGTCACCGACAGATGGTCCGGTACTTGCATCATCCACACTGGAAATCTAAAAATTGATTGAGTTAGGGGAAAAAAGAAGAAGAAGAACAGCGATACAAAAAGATAGTAATTGATCGGACCTTGAACCGAGAGGAACGTGATAAAGGGAAAAAAACAGAGATAACAACGGTTTCATTACAATCTTCTACTACTATGTACCCGGTTGAGACGGATAGAAGGTTATGGGAGAGAAGAAAAAGAGGAAGAAGGGAAGTTAATTATTTTCTAGTAACAAAAAACGAGATATCAATCAGCAGAAAAACAAACTAATATTAATGGAAAAAAACATTGGGTACTTGTTGCCATGGAGTCGTTGTCGAGCTCATTTCCCCGTTTGTTTCTCTTCTGGTGTAGAGTCGTTGGCTGAAATTCGTATTGTGGAGTATTCCAGTTCAATCTCAAGTTTTTTTAAAAACTTTTCCACAATTCATCGGAGGGAACAACAACTTGGGGGTCAAACAGGTTACAAAAAAGCGATATGTGTACAAATTCCACAATTTGCCGGTACAGAACTCGAATTATTTGTGATTTTCACCCGAAATTATGGGGTTCGTAACCCTAAATCGGTTTGTACCCTAATGATTGTTATTCCCATCGAGTTTTTCCCCAATTTTTTATATTTCAAACCGTTAGTTTGAAAGAAAAATCAAGTTATTTTCAAGTGAATGCATTTCCATTCACCGAATGGACCAATAGTTCAAACAATAGATGAACTTCTTTTGCTCTTATGATTTCTTGAGTAACTTTTCTCAGTTTAATTTTGATCCATATAGTTCATTGACGTCGCGTGTGAAACTCTGAAAGTTCTCATACTAGCCTACTTTCATCTTTCGCTTGGTTGATCACCTGACTTTTCTAATTTTCGCATAGGCATTTCTCTCGTTTAGTTAGTTCTAACAGAACTTCATTGTTACTCTCTTGGCTATCACTGTACATTAGCGGTAAAAGATATACAAAACAGGATTTTCGAATTGCTTCTCGGTCATTTAGACCATATTTAGGTGTCTGGAGCTCGGTTGACGAATTTCCGCTCACTTTGGAAACTTTGGAGGGCGAAAAACAGACCTATAGTGAAAATGTTTCATTTACGTTATTTTTGAGTATTCCTGCGTCTTCAGCTATTTGCCGATTCCTGAGGGACACGTTTCTCTCACGTTTTTAATACAAAATTAGGCCAGAAAGAGGTGTTTTTCAGAAATTAAAAGTTATCTGGATAACTAGAAATTCTCAAAAATTATTTTAATGTGAAGTTTCTAATCTAGGTTGGTTTACACCTTTCAAACTTTCAAACTGATTGGAATCTCGGCAGCCGAGCTCCAGACTCCTAAAAATGCCGGAAATCAACGGAAAATACCTTTCCGTGAATCTTATTGACCGTTATTGTGTCCTTTTGACGCGATTTTCGACTTTTCTTCGAATTTGCAACATTAAAAACTCACTCTTGAAACACTGAGTTCTCATCGCGCACTCCATAAACGCCATTAATTGTTCGCCGCACGCGCCGTTTTCCATTTCCTCATCACTTGACGTCTTCTGACACGAAATCGCTTCTCTGAAAACCAAATTATTTTCTCATTTTGTGTTTTGGTTTTGTGTACCTGAACTCATATCCACATGGGCTTGCAACCAAATGACTGACGCAGTGACACTCAAAGTTTACGGAGCCATCGGGGTTTTCAGGGCCTGTAAATCGTAAATGCTCATGAAAATCGTAAATTCTCATGAATCCTCAGCAAGGAAATAGCACTGCACCTCTATGAACAAGATTTTTGATCAGAAAATAAAACACTAACCTGGATTGTAGCTTGGATAAACATCATTTGGGTCAGTGTTTGCCAACTTTCGGCAATACGGATCATTGATATCGTCCCAGAATTCTTCTTTTCCCATCACATATTTTTGCTGAAAGAATTTACTAATGTTTTTCAACTTAGTTACTAAAGTTATTGCGATTTATAAAGCGTTAAATTCAACTTACATCATTACTTCCGCCAGTCGTGGTGCTTTCGGTCATCTGAAAGATAATTAATTAATGAATAATGAAAAATTGAAGTAAAAATGAGCATAAAGGACATTTTTAACAGTTTCTATATCTTTTCGCTGAAAATACAGCAGAAACGTTTTGAAAAACACAATTTTCTCTGAGCGTCAACAACAAATCTCGTAAATCGACACATGCCGCGGCGAGAGAGTGAGAGACGGCTGAGACCTGCTAAACAATGCGCGGGTAGCGGAGCATCGTTTGAGAGCTTTATGCTGTGAGGGTCCCCTCCATCTCTATCGATTCTTTGAGGTGAGCAGAAGTTTCGGAAAGATGTACATGCCGGAGCATATATCTGGAACCGGAGATCCGATTTCGTTGGCTGGAATCGAGGTAAGGAATTTTCAGAGCAAAAAATAAGCGAATTTTTCTTTTTTCAGTCGTTTTCGCTCTCCGGTAACAGCTCAGCGTACGAGAATCGTGTTGTAGAAGCAGGACATGACCATTTCTTCGTTAGTATCAATGAAAACATTTTACGCAAAACGAGGAATTTTCAGTATCAAATCCCGGAAGAAGCTGTTGGATCCATTGATTACATGCAAATCATGGAGAAATATCAAGTAATGGAGGCAAATGTCTTTGAAAAATAAGACGATATTCATTTCAGCAGTTTGTCGCCAATCCCGATGACGATTATATTGAAGTTGACCCGGTTCGTCAGTTAAAGAAAGTTGGAAGTCAACTAAGTGAGTAAACATTGAAACAGGTTTCTAGACCCGTTTCCGGCCAATAAAATATACAAAAACTTGCTTATTGATCACTTTCGACCATTTTCAGGAGTCTGGAGCTCGGCTCTCAAATCTCCGGTCACTAAAAAAATTTGGGAGGGTATAAAATAGACCTTTAATGAAAATTGTGCATTCGCAGAATTTTTCTACTATTTCTAATTTTTTAGCTATTTGGCGATTTCTCAAGAACACTTATTTTTTGCTGATTTTTGAACCGAAAACTTTAAAACAGGTGCCTTTCAGAAACCGGCAAATAGCTGAAAATTTGTGAAGGCAAAGTTTGTAATCTAGATCTGTTTTACATACTCCAAAATTTTCAAAGTGATCGGATACTTGTCTGCCGAACTCCGGAATTCCAAAAATGCCAAAAATCAACTGAAAATCACGTTTTCGTATTTCTTATTTGCCGGTACTAAATGTTTTATAATATTGGAATAACCGAGATCTTTAGAAATATCATTTTTTATAAAATATTGAAAGTCAATGCGAAAAGTTGGTTCAGGCGTATTTACTTTAGATGTTTGAAACTCTCGTGACGCTATTAGTTAAACAGAACAGTGTTCCTTATCTCTCTCACCAGAGCACCGTCCCTCACCAATATACTTTTCCATTTCAGAAGAAATCAGCCTCACCTTGAACCATCTCATGGAGGAGAACGAGAGACGAGACCGTCGCGAGCATGTTCGTAACGTTTAATTGTTTGAAGAAATACCGACATTTGTGTACGAAGTAGAACGTTGGTGTTTAAACTGACCGGGCATGTGGATCTTCGGAAAACACATGGCAATGAGAATGACGAACAATAGTATTGTTTTCCCTACTGTTGTTTTCGAAAACGTGTTTTCAATCGAAAAGTTATGACTTTGAGGATCTGGGAAAACGGAGTACGACGAGGATTCTCTCAAATAACACATCATGAAGAATTACCTGGGAAAATATTCATTATAAATTCTGAAAATTTTACGTGCACAACACAGATGCACAGTTTGAACATGTAATTAACACGCACTTTTCTTACAGTACCGGTTAAGAAGATATACAAAAGCGTGTTTTCAGTTGATTTCGATCATTTTCAGGGGTTTGAAGCTCCGCTGTCAAGTGTTCAATCACTTTGAAAAATTTTGAGAGTGTGAACCAAACCGAGATCGAAACATTTGCTTTCACAGGATTTTTAAAAAATTCCTAGTTTTTCAGTTATTTGCTGGTTTTTAAAGAACACCTGATTTTTTCACATTTCAGTATAAAAACACAAAAACCGAAACGTTCTTCAAGAATCGGTAAACAGCTGAAAAAATAGGATTTTCAAAAATTCGGTAAATGAAACGCTTTCAATCTAGGTCTGTTTCAAACCTTCAACATTTTTCAAAGTAATCGGACACTGGACATCCGAGCTCTAGACTCCAGAAATTGGTCAAAATTAACTGGAAAACACGTTTTCGTTTATCTTATTGACCGGTACTGTATTTAGAATATTGTAGGATTCCTGAACACAAAAAACAGGATACAACTACACGTAGTCTTTCATGTATCTTTACCCAACATTCACCGGTTATCTTTCCAAACCCCACACATCACAATACGTTCGTCTATTACACACACAGAAGAGTATCTTAGTCTATGGGTCGTCGCAACACACTGTGTGTGTGTGTCTGCCCTGACCCTCATAATGAGTGCACTCTCTGTGCAAGACGACCGACCTATCCTCATAGGTCCCGATGCGTTTATCGATTTTCTTCATTTTCCCCTCTTTGCAGTTCATGTGGGCTGGTCTCGCTGGTCTCACCGTCGTCGCGTTTGTTGCTTTGATTCGAAAATGATGAAACTCTTCAATTTTTGTGCCATAAAGACCGCAAAATCTCAACTTTATCCCGTCTATCCTTTCAGTGGTCACTGAAGTTGATACTCAAAAACTTTTTCTTTTCCGGCTAGTCGTTTCTTTGCTTTAAATGTACAACCGATGTTTTAAAATGAATCTCTCTGTCTTTTCTTTTTCTAATGTTGTGAATTTTTTCATTATATAGATACTATAGTTTTTTCAATGTTCTCTAAATAAATCGCTCTTATCTTTCTCCACTGATTTTATTCTTTGCGTTTTTCGATTCTTTTTATTTCGATTTTTGTAAAAATGAAACATTTTTCGATATTTCAGGTAAAAATACAGGTTACTACACATGATCACACGGGTTTCACTTCTTCGCCTACGTCATGCGAGGACAATATTGGCTAATTCAGGTGAGAATTTTAACTTTTTTAGGCTCAAAAATGATGATAATATTCCGAAAAAGCGTCATGATGCAAATGCGCTCGAGTGGAATGCCGTGCTATCTGCAAGCAAAACACCTAAATTGACTAAAAACAATTGAAAAAATATGCCAAAAAGGAAATTTTTCAGCCTCAATTAGCTCCAAGACGTCTACATTGACTATCGGAAACGTCAGCGTGCAGCTTCAAGATGCCAAAAATCCGGATTTCGTTCCTGCCTACTATGGATTGTCAGGTCAACCACCACAAGATCTTCTTCCGCACCTCAAATGGCTGATTCAGAAAGATAAACTGAAACAAGACGTTTTCCTTCTAGGTGTCCCTGGAAAAATCCGGCTAGAATTAGTATTGAGATACCTGGTGAGTTTTTCAACGAGTTCTGGATTATAAAACGTTATTTGATTATCAGGAAGCAACAAACAGAGAATTCGAGTACTTACCGATTACCAGAGACACTACAGAAGCAGATATCAAGCAGAGAAGAGAGATTCGAGATGGGACTGCGTACTACACAGACTTGGTGGGTTCTTGGAATTACGAGGACGTTGCAATTAGCTAATTCTTTTCTTTGTTTTCAGTGTGCAGTTCGTGCAGCTTTAGAAGGACGAGTGTTGGTTATTGACGGCGTGGAACGGGCTGAACGGAATGTCCTGCCGATTCTTAACAATCTTCTGGAAAATCGTGAAATGCAGCTGGACGATGGTCGCTTCTTGATGAAACACGACAAGTACGATGAGCTCAAGTCAAAGTACGACAAAACGACGCTAAAGAAAATGGGATTGGAGAGGGTGTCAGAGAACTTCCACATTATCGCTCTCGGTCTTCCAGTCCCAAGATTCACTGGAAACTCTTTAGATCCACCATTCCGAAGCAGATTTCAGTGTAGAAACATCGAAGAGTTGTCTTTCAATACGTTCCTAGAGCAAGCAAAACTTATCGCTCCCAACATCAAAGAGTCGGAACTCAACGACTTGATATCTGTGGTTTATGCATACAATTCGGAGGCGTCGACGACAAAACCAAGAATTGCCACATCGGTTGTGGAGAACACGCTGAAAATTTGGAATATGAATCCTGGCTACTCAGCTGGTCAAATCGTGGACTACACTTACCCGGCAAAGGAAGTACTATCGGAAAGTGAAAAATATTTGATAGATACGTTCAAAACTAAATTCAAGCTTTCCAATAAGGAGAAAGCGCGCAGTCTGAAAAGCAAGGAAGGAAACACATGGGTTGAGATAAATGAAAAAAAGAATAAAAAGAAAGTAAATCTCAATTTACCAACTGCTCCTCATCCCACCACCTCGACAGCTACTTGGGTTCCTACTAATCATCAAGAAAATCTTCTCGCTGATTTGGCATTGGCATTCTCAAAAGGAGATTTTATTCTCATTGGTCCCAAAGGATCTGGTAAATCCACGGTTCTCGGGGAGCTCTCCAAACGAATCAACTTCAACTACGTCACAATGGTACTGCATCAAGATATGAACACTCGAGAACTAATTCAACGACGTCATATGAAGGAAAACGGAGATACAGTTTGGGAGGACTCGATTCTGGTGGCTGCTGCACGGAATGGAGATGTTTGTGTTCTGGATGGTGTCGAGATGGTCCATCCCAGTGTTATCATGTCGCTGGCACAGCTGGTTTACCATCGAAGATTCGATTTGCTAAACGGAAACCGTTTGATTGGAGAAAAAGAGTTCAAAACTATCATGGAGAGAGATAGGATAGATGAGGCAGCAATGAATCAAAGGTTTGCAAAACAAAAATGTTCAATCACTAAAGAAAAATATGTTTTGCAGAGGCGTTTTCCGAATCCCCTATTCTTTCCGCCTACTATTTGTAGGAGAGTCACAATCTAAAGACCACAAATGGATCAATGAGAATGTACTTTCCCTTCTACCATTCTACACTGTTCCGGAGCTCTCGCTACCTGAACAAGCGAAAATCATCTCGGAAATTACCCATGGGTCAAACACAAAAGCAGTCGACAAACTTATCAAGTTTGTGCAAAAGATTAAAGATTCACATGATTCTGGAGTGAGTTTCCCTTGTTAGTCAAGTTTTTAATTATCGACTTTCAGCTCAAAACTACAGCCACATCTTTGTCACTCCGTCGTCTCATCCACATTGCTAAGCGAGACTTAATGCAGCCAGGCCATCTTCGTGAGCTTGTGGAGAAAGCTGCTCTGTCAAAATTCTTGCCTCAAATCACGAAAGAAACATTCGAGCACGAATTGAAAGCTGCTGACCTCATCAATGACACCACAATTCGTACCAAAGAAGATCAGAAGTATCTTGAAATGATCCGAGCTGCGACTGAAAGAGCTGAAGACGAGGCACTGATTCCGAACGTGTTGTTCCATCACAATAAACAACACGATGAGGTGTTGGAGGACATGGCGAGAGATATGAAGCTGGGAAGTCATCTATTATTGATCGGAAACCAAGGAGTTGGAAAGAATAAGCTCACTGATCGCTTTCTTCACTTGATCAATCGCCCGAGACAATATATGCAGCTTCACAGGTGGGAAAGGTCATCGATTTGAGATTTTATTAACTTTTTTTTCAGAGACACAACTGTGCAGACCCTAACAATGCAGACAGTAGTAGAGAATGGTATCATACGTCACGAAGATAGTGCATTGGTAAAAGCAGCGAGAAGTGGACAGGTAGGCTTTTTCACAATCTTCTTTTTTAATGTTGTGTGCATATTCTAAAAACATTGATTTCAGATTTTGGTAATCGACGAAGCTGACAAGGCACCACTGCACGTCATTGCAATTTTGAAGAGTCTCCTAGATACTGGTAACTTGGTACTTGGTGATGGTCGATCCCTCCGTCCAGCTTCATCGTTCACGGAGGCTGACAAAAAGAATGAAAAGCTGGTAGCAATTCACCCCAACTTCCGAATCATCATGTTAGCCAACAGACCTGGATTCCCATTCTTGGGTAAATAAATTTTTTGAACAATATCATTAAAACTGTTTGGTTTCAGGTAACAATTTGTTCGCTGTTCTCGGTGACCTCTTTGCAATTCACATGATTGACCATCCAGGAAGGCAGAGTGAATTTGAGATGATTCAGAAGTATGGTCCAACGGTTGCCACTGGCACGCTCAACCAATTGCTCACCATTTTCAATGAGTTGCGTGACAAAACAGACCAAGGAATCCTTCAATACCCATATTCAACTAGAGAACTTGTCAATATTGTAAGACATTGCAATGTGAGTTGACACCTGTTACAAAAAGAAAATTTCAATTTCGTTAAAACTTTTCAGGAGTTCCCAAATGACCCGCTACCAGAAGTTTGCCGAAATGTTTTTGATTTCGATTCCTACAGTGAGGACACCATCGCAGTCATCCACGAAGTCTTCCAGAAGCATGGAGTTCCCCTAGGCTAGTCTATTTTTTCTTTAACTTTTTCATAAATATTGTTTCGTTCGATTGTTAGATGCCGCCGGTTTTTGCGAGATAAATGATTAATTTTATGTTTTTTCATCGCATAAAAATGTTTCAAATTTCAGGTGTGACTCGAAAAAACGACAGTGTATCGCTCACAGATAGAATTTCGCTAGGGGAACTGAAAAACCTTGGAAAATGGTCAATGAAATCAGTTAATTTCCCAAAAGAATACGGATTCAAGCCACCAGCACTAATTGATATCGACCCACCAGTTAAATTAAGTTATGTGGAGAAAAAACTTGACAAGCAAAATCTGCGAAGCGGAGTTTTCTCCGAATCACACTGTGTTTGGAAAATTCCAATGGATACAACAAATGTTATCGGAGACGCGATTCGTGTGAACGACGATTTAGTGGTGACAAGTGTGAATCCTCCAAAGCTATTCCATTGTAAAAACTTCATGGATTCTGACGTGGTAAGCCAGAAATATATTGATTTTTTTGAAACCAATTTGTACAGGTAGAAGAAATCAATCTTCAAAGTTTCCTTCCACCTGTCAGCAACATGTATCAACCGGTCATTCGCCTGGCATATCTCGGAGGCGACAATGTTCTGATTCACGAAGAAGAAGCCAACTTCACAGCTGTTGTCAGTTTACCCGATCAAATGGGAACCGTGATACAAAGAAATTCCAGTTTCACCAAAACAATTGGAGCCAGTAAGTTTTAACCTCACAAGTTCCTGTTAAATCATAAAATTTTTAGTGCTGACCGGTTCCAACTATCCATGGAGACTGTCCAACCAAAAATGCAATCACGCTCTGGTTTATGAATGGTAAGCGACTTGTTGATCTTTCTTTTTTCTGAAATCTTATTTTATTTTTTCCAGGGGTGGAAACCAAATGCTCGTCTACACTGATGAGAAACACGGAGTCACAGTTCAACACGGGTCTCTTCCGTTCAAAATCAAACGAGTTTACGCTAATGCGCCTCAAAATTGGACTGTTGTGTCGGAGGTAGTATTTCGGAACCGAATTATTTTCAATTTTCTATTTGAATTGTTTTTCAGGACAATGAAAATTACATTCTCAAATTGGATAACGAAAAATGTCTGCTGGAAAAAATTGATAGCAACGTGGAAACGGGATTTGACTCAATTGCCACAAAACTGAGAGGCAATGAAATGACAATAGTTGCGGATCCATATTACTTCATTAATACAAGAACTGTAAGACTCTGTTTATCTGCACAACTTTTCGAATAAAAAAAATTTCAGGATGGTGACGTGTTTGGAATCCCGCGTAAACCAACTGAAAACTATCTTACAAAACCTGGCTACTACCGTAATATGGAAAAGTGTGCAAATGTTGATGTCTCAAGAGAAGCTATATTTTTGGGTGATACGCTGGTCCGTGCTCTTCCCACTTTTAGAACACCCAAAGAATATATAGATGAAAGTGAGTTTTCGAACATTTTTCGTGATAAATTATTTGTTATTTTTTAGAAATCGACCCGTACCAAACGTCTGGATTTTTGGAAAGCATTGACTTGGCCGCAAGTAAGATCAGCTATGTACCAGTACCACAAAGTGCCAATCCTGTAATGTATGAGTAAGTTAAATGTATATATTTCAAGTGTTCAAATTGATTATCCAGGTCATGGGGTGCGAAAATGTCGAAAGCTCATTTCCAACTTATTCCATGGGATGATGAGAAAGTCATGACTGTAGACATGACAGGGTTCATCAGATCGTTCGAACTGTCCTGGTCTACACTGGGAAAATCATTCGACGACTGGAAACGGATGACCGGTGGATCAGATGACCACAATCTAAGAATGGAGTTTGATAGACAGCCAGATGATGTTGATATGGAAAAACTTGAGGAACCGAAACTCGGAAAGTGAGTGCTCACAAATTTCAACAGGTCCGAACGGAATTTCCGCAACGAAAACTTTCCAGGTTCGATCCCGACAACGCTCCTCATCACGGTGGAAATCAATGGATGGGTGGTACTGGTGGGTACAACACCGCAGGTCTTGGCGGAATTGGTGGTCCGTTCCGACTAGATGCAGGTCATGACGTCCATCAAATGCCAGATTTTGCAAAAGAGCAAGTTCCAAAGCATATATTGAAGAAAGCTAGAGAGATTGCTAAACAAGAGTACGCCAAGAAACTACGGGTGAGTAGAATTTTGAAGTTTATTTAATTTGACTCATAAAGTTTCAGGAAATTAACATGTCAGAACATGATGCAGATGGGTACGAGAAAGTGTGGAAGAGGGTGCAGGTTCCTTCGAAAAAGTTGGCTGCTGTAATTGATCAGCTTGAGGTATGATCTTGCCAATATTTAATTCTTCTATTAAAATTTGCGGCTTCAGGCTAAGAAAAAAGAGCGAGAGTGGACGAAACATCAAACGAGCGGAGATTTGGACGATGGAAAGTTGATTGAAGGTGTTACAGGAGAGCAGAACATCTACAGGTATTTAATTGCATATTGTTTTAATGTATTTGTACTCTTGAATCATTTCAGACGGCGTGTTGACAAAGTTCCCGATCCAGGGGCACCGCAAACAAAACCAAAACGTCTTCGTCTCTGTCTAGATGTTTCTGGATCCATGTACAGATTCAATGGGTACGACCAACGGCTCACAAAGACTATGGAAGCCGCACTGATGACAATGACGGCGTTGGATGGAAAAACAGACAAAGTGCAGGTTCGGTGATTTTTGGTGTCATCTACTAATCCTTGTCATTTTTTTCAGTATGACATTGTTGGACATTCTGGAGACTCGCCCTCTGTGTCCTTTGTCAAAACGGATCAGCACCCAAAAAATAACAAAGATCGTTTAGACGTGTTGAAACGGATGATTGCTCACACACAGGTAACAAAAAAATGTATTCTCAAAATTTTAAACTTTCTGTTCCCAGTATTGTGCTAGCGGTGATAATACAGTAGCAGGTTTGGAATGGGCCGGATGCGAATTGAATGTGAAAAAAGACGATTTCGACGAAACAGTGGTTATCTTGGTGTCCGATGCTAACTTGCGCAGGTAAAACTTTGACCAACAATTCTCACTGAATTTTCTTATTGTTCAGATACAACATCCAACCAAGAAAAGTCAAAGATGTCATGACTCGACGCCCTGGAATCAATTCATTCGTCATTCTCATTGGAAGTCTCAGCAACGAAGCTGACGAGATTCAAAGCCAATTGCCTGCTGGAAAAGCGTTTGTGCTTAAAGACACCTCGGAGTTGCCTAAAATCATGGAAACTATTTTCTCGTCCACCATTGCTCAGTGATTTGTTGTGAAAATTTTATTGGAATTTTATACGATTTCTGTTCATGTATAGTTAGTGCGTAAATGAAGAATTGCTGCATAGTTACGTGAATGCAAACATAAATGTTTTGAAAACATCCATTGCGTAAGAAGAATAGTTCTCTTCTGCGATTACGCCGTAGCGTGTACGGTACCAAGAAAACTTGTTGTCCATAGCAAAAACATGTGAGTCAGCAGCAGGATCTTGCCAAAAATTCTGGATATTTTTTTTTGAAAAAAATTTTGCGTAGTTCTGAAATTTTGGAAGAGTAACGTGACGAATGAAAAAATCAAAATTTCCCATTTTTAAGTAAACTTTCGCAGGTAAATAAGTTTCAGAAGAAAACGTTCAAACACTGATATTTTCAAATGAAATAAAGACATTTCTCACTGACATTCATTAAATATAGATATCATGGTCCGAAGCAAATACGAGCGAGTTTTTTCACAGGATTAGGTACGGTACCGGTCAGACTGATTAAGAAAAGCATGTTTTCAGTAGATTTTTGGTCATTTTGACCATTGTCAGGAGTCTGGAGCTCGGTTGTAAACTTTTCGATCATTTTGAAAAATTAGGAGGATGTAAAACAGACCTATATGAAAAACTTTGCATTCACAGAATTTCTCGAGAACTCTTAGTTTTTCAGATATTTTCTCATTTCTGAAAGATATTTCTTTTTTTGCCCATTTTTGTATTTAAACGTTGAAAAACTGGTGCCTTTCCGAAATCGGCAAACAGCCAAAAAATGTGGATTCTTCAAAAAATTCTGTGAATGTCTAGTTTTTATTCTAGGTCTGTTTTACACCCTCCAAAATTTTCAAAGTGATCGCAAACTTGATAAGCGAGCTTCAATCCCCTGAAAATGGTAAAGTTGTTTTCGTGTTTCATATTGACCGTTTTCAAATATTCCGGTAAGATTATGGTATTTGTTACTGTTTTTCATTGACATGGTCCGAAGGAAATGCAAACTGTGTTTTTTTCAAATAACCAGAGTCGACGTTTTCTATCCTGATCCCTTCCAATATTATTCCCGGGCGCCATTGGTGATCACTCGATCCCCTCCTACAACTTCTTTTTGTTATGATCCATTTCTCAGACTCGTGACTCGTGACAATAGTCATCTCACCCATTCACCCCTGTCGTTCCCCTTCCTTCTAATAGATTTCACCTTCAGAACAGACCACTGGATATTGTAATTAAAATCGCTCAGAAATCGAATCGTTGAAATATGCAGATAAATAAGCAGGGATGACGCCAGTGGTTTCTCCGCGAAAGTTTTTTGTCATACTGTGTTTTTTCTCTTCCCACACACGGCTCCGTCAACTAGCAATTGTCTTCGGATAACCTTGGGAAGTCATACCATCAAACGAAAGTCCGCGGATGGGATGGGGACCGCATAAAAAACCACCACCGACTTGTTCCACGTTTTTTTTGCATAAGTTTCTCCTAGCCAAAATTTTTCACATCCATCATTTCGGTTTCTTCCACCCCAAGGCCACAATGTGTGGTTTTTTGTGTACGTCGGCAAAACAAAAACCGGTGGACCTTAACAAAAAAGTAAATAGATGGTTTCGATTCCTGAGAAAAATCCGCGGAAAAAAAGGAAATAGCAAAAAAAGCGGTTTTTATCCCTTTCCGTTTCTTATGCAACACTAGACACAATATATTTTTTCTGTTTATTTTATCCATTTGAAACTGTGAAAACGTTTTCTTCTAACATCATTTTTCTTAATATCTAAACTAGTTTTTTTTTCTGTATTGCAGTGAAGAAATCTGACAAAAAAAGGAGAAAAAATTCAAAATGGCACCATCTGTTGCACAAGATGAAAGGAGGTGAAGAGAGATTCGTGGCAGTAGATTGGAACACTAGACGATAATGAAAGAAGACGAGATAAAGAAAGAAAAGAAAACCAGAATGCTTGCACTTTATGCTTCTGCCTGTCTACATTTTTTCTCCTTTTTTCACACCTGGTTTTGGGTTTCAGGACAGAGATTAAGAGCTGAGATTCAGATATCGTCCAAGATAAACGTTGCAAAGATCGAAGCACTTGAAGTTTTCATCTTATCTGGACCACCCATTAATTTTCCGAACATTATCATCTTTGCAAATCCGACAAATCCTGAAGAGAAACAGATATTTTTCAAAGTTTCACAAGACATACATATTTACCAAAGGGACTAACACAAGAGCAATTATAATTAGTATGAAAAATAGGCCAATTACACTATTCAGGCTCATTCTACCATAAACCTCAACTCCGTGGGTGGTGAACTTTGCAAACACAGACACATCTCATGTACACGTAATTACAGTAACCGGACATGTTGTCAAGTTTTAAATGACGGATTAGGAATCTCGACGCGTTGCGCAACACGAATAATGAGGTATCGAAAATGGAATGTTCGATTACACGTGTTCGATCTTGTTGATTTACAGTTGGTTTCCAGATGTTATCGGGGTGTGGATAGATGGTACTGGTGGATAGACCCTATTGCGTGGTTTGGGTTTATGGGAAAAATTATATGAGCTACTGCAAGAGTGATGTGTCATGACGTGGAAGACTGTAAACTAAAGAGGAAAATACATGTGATTTACAGCCAGGACACCAAGTCATATAATCAATACTGCTCAATTTGGGCGTTCCATTTGACTAAACTTCTCCTTCTCAAAATAATCCTAGTTTTGCGCGGCAATATTAACTGAAATTTGAGGCTGTTTTTTTGAATATCTTTTTTATTATGAGATTTTTCAAATTCTGAACTTTTTGAAATTTCATTTTTAACAATATTGATACTGTGCCAGTCAATAAAGTATACCAAAACGTATTTTCAAATTATTTCGACAATTTTTAGGATTCTGCTGCTCGGTTCCTAAGTTTAGCCGAGTTTAGTTTTCACTCTGAACATTTTGGAAAGTATAAAACAAAACTAGATCGAAAACTTTGTATTTGCAGCATTTATCAAAACTTTCTAGTTTTTCTAGATTTTTGCCAATTTCTGAAAGGCACCTTTTTCTTGTTTTTATCGAAAAACAAGCCAAACAAAGATCTTTTATTTCTATCAGAAAACGGGAAAAATCCAAAGAAAAGGATCTTCAAAGTTATCGAAAACATGACGAGCGAGTTCAAAACTCGTGAAACGGGAAAACTCGTGAAACGGGTGAAAATTAATGGGTGGTCCAGATAAGATGAAAACTTCAAGTGCTTCGATCTTTGCAACGTTTATCTTGGACGATATCTGAATCTCAACATAAAAAGACGTTATTGTATATCTTAACGTTCCATTACAGTTTCTCCAACTCAGAAACTATCCATATCCGTTCTCGTCTCTTTCTTGAAAATTCCCCGAATTTTCCCTACCAACCCGAGGAACAGGAACCTCCCTTCTTCCCTACATTAGCATTTTTCCACAGGATTGCGACACAAGAAACACGCAACACTGAGGGCATTCAAGTTAAATCACAATTTAGAACTTTCTCCATGCGATTTTCATTTTTCCCATTCCTCTCCCACCACCATTTTCCACCGACAGCTTCACTTTTTTGTCTCCCCACGGTTACAGGAAAAAAAAAGCGAAGCTTCTCGTTTTTTCTTTCGTTTTTCTTTTCTTTTTTTTTGCTGCCATCCGCGCGCATCTCATCGAATTATACTGGATCGTTCGGGCAAAAAAGGAAAAAGGCTTGAAAGACAGAAGTGGAGGGAGACTGTAGAAGAGACAAAAAACCGAAGAGGAGGTGTGGGGAGGTGGAAGACGTTGGGAATAAAAAAAAAGAGAAAGCAGAACAACGAGAAAACTTGCGATTTTTGTCTATGGCGAAGGCGGTAGTCGCACTTTGCATCGTTTTTTTCAACAAAGCTTCTGCCATTAATGCAATCCCACACTTCCTGGGTAGTCGTCTGGGAGCTTCTTCAAATTTTGGCGCGCTAGGATTCCAGCTGCGTTAGTTTGGAATACCGTAAAACAACATTTCAGTTGAGTCACGCTGGAATCTGTCTACAGTATATTTCGATGTTTTTTTTCGTAAAGTTTGTCTATCATTGGCGTATTGCGTTTTCTACAGTATCTTTTGATTCTCAGTTCTAATGGCTTCATGTTTCATTTCTACAGTATTTTTTGGTTCTTAGTTTTATAAAGTTGGCTTTGATACCACGTCTAAATTGGATCTATCATTGATAATTGGGAAAGCTAGAAAGCTGAGCAGTTTTTAATCTCGAAATTCCAGTTTTTTTTTGTCTAAATATTCCTCATTTTCTTTAGAGAGCATCTTTTATCAGTTTGATATCATCTCTTGAATCTTATCGTGCAGTTATATCAGATATAGGTAAACGATTATCGTTTTTGGAAGCTTTTAGTAATAGCTGCGGGACATGGTGTTTCTTCTTTGTTGGACTGTCAGGGTACACGTGACTTCGTCCGCCTGGTACCCTCCCGACATGTGTTTGCAAGCTAACTTATTCGCTCTTCGACCATAACAAAAATACGTATTTCTTCAGTCAATTTGCTTGGTCAACTATTTATTTGAATCTAGAACTTCGTCCACTCGTTTCTAGCTCATATTCCTGAATGGAAGGGGAGCAAAAACAATTTCTATCTGATCTGCCTAAAGGTAACTCATCGAATGATGGAAATTTATTTACTGGTTTCGATTCCAAACACTTGTATTTAGACTCCTCGCCGTTCTCTGAAACGAATATAAAAGTGAAAGAGGAAGATCCATTTCTATTCTATCCGCTCAAAGACAACTCATCAGCGGATGCTGATTTGTCTCCTGGTTGCAGTTACGAACTCTTGAATTTAAAACTCTCACCGTTTTTTGAAACGAATTCAGAGGTGATTGTGGAAAAGCCTTTTCTGTTCGATACGCCAAAAGTCAATTTATCAGAGGATGCTAATTCAATAACTGATGCTGATCCTGGATACGCAAGTTTTGACTTAACGTCATTCTTTCATGGTAATTCAGAGGTGAAAAAGAGAACACCATCTCTTTTGGACTTGCTTAGAGGTAACGTCGAAAGCGGGAAACTCGTTACTCGGTTTTAATTTTTAACTTTTGAATACAGCATACTTGTCACTCCCTCTACCAAAGTCAGAGGTCAAAGAGGAAAATATATTTCTCGAAGGCTTTCCCAGAGATAACTCATCAGATAATGGCGATCTTGAATTTCTCAATGCGGAAACTGAGTCTCAATGTTGTTACAAGGGAAAAAAGGAAAAGCTATCTTTCATCAACTCAACAAGGGATGAAGCAAGTTCTGATGCTTCCTCAGCAATAAAACCTAACTTATCAACTATTACTAACTCAACCACTGATACACTAACAGAGGATAAGAATGTGGAAAGCGAAGCAACATCCGAAGGTGAGTGAAACAAAACAATTGTTCTTATCTCGGTTCATCTCTTCCGCGATGGTAGGTTAAAGAGAAGGAAATACCCGACCTGGTTTGAATTTTGTTTTTGACTTTTCGTTTTTGACGATTTCTTCTTAGCGCATGACGAGTTTCTTGATTTAACAATGGAGATTGTGACTGTAAAGCGGCTAGACGTTTGTGATGATTGGTTATTGAAAATTGGGAATTATGTTCTGATGGGTTCTGGTTATTGTATCTTTTTTGGAAACGAATTGAGCTTGCTTTTCAGTCCCGTGTAACTCTTTTTCTTCTTTAGGAGCGTCGTTCTTTACTTCTCTCGACTTTTCTTAAAACCAATGGAACCAGCTTTAGAAACCAGGTGTTACAGCTTTCATCATCATACCTATCACACACCTTTTAAAATAAACCTGACGCATTCTTAATTTTAAAGGCATCTTTCTTCTCTCGGCAAATGGTTCTAGGCAATATGCCGGTTCTGCCCCAAGCATTGTTAACCTCTTCTTTCCCTCCTTTTTTTCCCTCTCAATTGTCTTTTTCGCCCATTTGCATTCCAAAATGGTTCTTTCAATTTTTATGTGTCTATGTGTATGTGTACCTGAAGAAATTCAAGTCCTGTCGTTGATGTGAAAATGGTAAACTGATCTACCACTACCATAATTTTTTTTATTTCAAGTCTCCTCTGAGAAAACGGTTTTTTTTCTTCACATCAAAAACAGAATTAGTCATATTGCCCTTCACCCCCAGGTGTGGAAAATGGGCGGAGACTGACAGTATTCTATTCTGTCGTTTTCACACGGCGAGAGTGACAGAATATGAAAGTTTGATGGCATCCTGTAGACAGGTTTTTAGAGAAATTGATGAAGTGAAGAAGATTGACAGTGAGACACGAAAAAAACCAAGCCTTTTTTCTATTTCATATTGTTAGGACAAGAGATTTAGAAATCTTTTTTGCAGCGTTTGAAGTGGTTTAGAATATATGAAGTGATGATAGGTTACGATCTTAGCAGAGAATATGTGTTACTTGTATGTGTTCTGTATCATTTGGGGAATCTTTTGATAGTCATTGATAAGCACTCCTTTTTTTGAAACCAGGTTAAGATTAGAAACTTTGATTGATAATTGATGTCACAGTTTATCTCTTCAAGCCCAAGTCAAGTATTGAAGCTGTTATAGAACCTTAGCCAGAATAGGATTGTGCTACTAGAACAAATAGTACGAACTTGAAATTTGTAAAAAAATCGAAAACAATCGCAGATGTAAGTCTAACCTCACGTGCTTCTTCTTCCCTTTTTTTCAACAATTTCTTTTTTCTCACCTCGTCTCCTCTTCTATTTTGCCGCTGTTTCTTGAATCTTTTTGGAATCCTCACCGCTGTGATTGCGTAAAACGTAAGCGGCCGAAGACGACGCAACGCCTAGAAAAAGATAATAGACTAGCATCCATGTAAAAATCCATCCGATGTTGCCGTATGAAGTCTCTTCAATTTCAATATTGCCTCCGTCGTTTTATTCGCGAGGTTCGTTCCTGTCTAACGATCTGCCAAGTTCTTTTTTCGCATTCTTTTCTTCCACGTAATATGTTGCATTCATTTCCTCACACTGTTTTCCTTCCTTCCTGTAGACGTTCTGTCGTTTTTCATCTCTGTATCTCGAATTCTACTCATGTTTTTTTGTTCAACGCCATCTGAAAGGTTTTCAAAATGTTGCCAATCTGAAAATTGGAATTCTTCCAATTTCGTTTTGTTACTTCCAATTTGCGGTCGGTCGATTGTGAGAACTATTTTTTTTTGGGACGCTGTATTATCTTATCACAATAATGATGACTTCGTGTCTCAGACAATGCCCTTCCCTGTTCCATAAGTGATCAAGTTTCGCAACAATCAGTGTGTTTTTATAAGGATATCTAATTAAAAAGGTGTAATGAAGTTTCAGTCAGTAGTTTTTTCTCTGATTTTTCTCTTGCGATTGGTGTTTCATGCCTGTGCCAGTAATGTGGAATATGATTTTCGTTGAAGCTCATTTCTGAATCAAATTGTTCCAATTGATTGTTTCAATTACAGAGCTCAATCTGAAAATTTATTTTCACAAGTTTTTCCCTTCTTTCAATTTATTTTTGATAAGCTATGATTATCGATAATTATGCGGTTTAAAAATTACCGTAAACACTGTAACAAAAGCCCACATTTCAATCTCTTTTCGAACTCAATTATCTCGATTCTCATTAAAAAATTTCAAAATTTTATCAACTGATACAATTTTGATATTACAATATCACAAAAACTTATGTAATTGACAGATTTTTGATAACTCTTTCAGAAATGGAGATAAATGAACTTAAAGTGCAAGTGAAAGGTTGCGTCTCATTTTGGTTTTTACGGTGTGCAGAATTTGAAATCTATAAAAAAGTATTATGGAATTGATTTCAATGCAGTTTTTGAATATCGAACTATCACATTTTTGAAATTTGTTAAATTTTGATTAAGCTTAATTGCACAAGGTTTGTTCCAGAGTAAAAATATTCCGAACCTTATTATACCGGTATTTTTTCTAATACAAACTTAACCAAACCGTGCACTCCGAGTTTAATTATCTAGATTCCAGAAAAAGATTTGAAAATATCTCAACTTATAAAATATTGGTGGTGTTATGGTACATAATTGCACTGTTGACCATCTTTTCATATCTTTCACAGACATAAAAATGATTAAGTTCAATTATAGATTTTGTCTCTCCTTTTCACTTTTTCTGTTTCATAACAATCATCACAACTCCAAAAGTCATTGAAATGGCCTTCTTACAGTAATTCGAAATTCGCGAAAATCACTTTTTGACTTTCGATTCACCGCTTTCTCAGCTCGATCGTCCTTAAAATCAGCCCTTATAAGATTAATTGGTAGACTCCCAGAGAAGAGGTGCTTTTATAGTTGGTATCTCTCTCTCTATTTTTTGATTATCTCGCAATATCTTGAGTGAACCGGCTGGTTGCGTAATCAAAGATAGAGCGAGCGAGATGGGGGCAAGTTTAGCGGGAGATGATGAATCAAGCGGTTGGGTAGGTAATGTAAGTGAATTGACATGATGAAGAGGTAAGATGATTAGAACAATGCAAAGAAAAAAACGGTAAAAATCAACTCTCGCTTCCTTTTTCCCACCACCTGGGGGTAGAGGGACTGATGTGAGACTATAAAAAAATGATCGAGACCACCACTCCACCCTCGACGCCTACTGTGATGCGCATAGAGAACAAGAGACAGAGATTTCAGTTGAAGTTACTAGGAGGTAAAAAAACGAACTGTAGCGGTGCCTGGCACGACCCCCGGTAAAACGCCAGTGAATTGCCATACTCACACGTTGGCTTTCTTTGGTCGCCGTCGTTTTTCTTTTCTTCCGAGACGACGTCTCCTGGTTCTCCCTTTTTTCACCAAATTTTTTTTCTGCCTCCCGATCATCTTACCCTCATCCTCTCTAACCCCACCGACGTTCAGTATTTCAGGCCCCGGTGTCGACCTTCAACTACAACCCGCTTCAATTCAGTCCCCACATATAGGTAGCCGCTGGCGGATTCACTGGTCGAATACGGACGGCGGTGTCTTACGGTATGTATTGGTCCATCACTCTTCAGGTGTGGCAGAAGGAGGAGATAGGGAAACGAGGGAAAAGAAAGAGGGAGGAGTACCATCTCCCTCTTTCCTTCATCCATCCTGCCGTTGGCTCTCTTCGGCCGCCGAAGGGGGAGTGTCGGAGAGAGTAGAGATCCAACCGATCCGCAACCGAACCCCTGACTCTCACTTTTCCGACTCCGCCCACTTTTTTCTTCCCGTATACCATGCCATCGCAGGGAGGTCCATTCCATACCATGTGCCATTCTTACCTTTCATGCTTCCCCTATCACCTACCGTATACCTTTTGCTTATAGTTCTATAATTTCAGAAGACAAATGACCGACGTAGAGAGAATGGTGTTGCGACCAAATCACGAAGGCGAGCAATGTCCAGTGTGTGGGGACAGAGTATCCGGATATCATTATGGCCTTTTAACATGTGAAAGTTGCAAGGTTAGTCTCGAGATCTTCACTTTTCACCGCGGCAAATCTTCCCGCGGAGAAAAAAGTGGGTGGGTAAAATGATAAGGTCATTTGTAGTAAGTGAGAGTCCCGACTCAGGGACATGTTCGAGCCCTTCAAGGACAGCCAATTCTAACCGCCAAAATCATTCACTTGTTGCCATATGACCCTCATCGGAGTGGTCTCTAGTTTTTTCTCTCTTCTTTTATTTTCATTTTTCCATTTTATATGGACATTCATTATTTCCTCTTTAATCTTTCCTATTTTTCAGGGCTTCTTCAAACGCACAGTCCAAAACAAAAAGGTGAGTAAGACTATAGAGGTAGGCGAAGACAACACTACGGGGTTACTGTAGATGTTTATCGCTTCCTTCTCCTTCAAACGTCGTATTTTCAATTAAATGATTTTTTTCAAGTTCCAGCAATATCAATGCTCAGCAGATGCCAACTGTCATGTAGATCGGACGTGCCGGAAACGATGCCCAAGTTGTCGGTTTCAGAAATGTTTAACGATGGGAATGAAAATGGAAGGTAGGTACCGTCCCCCACTAGAGATATCAATCATAAAAGAGTCACCCCACACAAACCGCTAAAGTTGATCCATATCTTGTTTTTGGTCTCTGGGAGCATTACTCGTTCTGTTTCGCCATATAGATTGATGTGATAATGTAGGGTTACAGTGTAGGTTAGGTTCTTATTCTGCCAATCATCCTTTTTGCGCCTTTCCTGACTTCTTCCTCTACCCGATTTGCACTTTAAGACAAGGCCAAAAGCTTGTTCATGTAATCATCGCTTTGACGCGTTTTTATGGATTTCCTACTTTCTCCTTTTCATTTTTTTCTTTCGTCTCATTTTCTTCGCTTCTATTTCGTTTTTGCAATGTCTTCACAAAAACGATATATTGAAGAAAAGATGCAAAATTGGATATGAAACGATGAGAGTGGGAAGAGAAGAATAGAATTGACAGTAGAGGGCTAAAACCGGTCCATGGACCTGGGGGTGGAGGCGCGCGCATCTCAAATGCTGTGTGGCAGGCGCTCTACCATTTCAAATGTAGGCAAAAAAAGGAAACACCTTTGCAAAAAAGGCAACACAAAGTTCCAGGAAGTAAGCATTCATCTTCCGGTATTCGGAAGAGAAACAAGAGGAATCTAAGCACGCAAATAGGTTGTAAAAGTACAATAGGAGCCGGCTCGATAATTAAAGGTGTAAGGGAAGTGTACAGTACCTCCAACGCGCTTTTGTTGGGGAAACATGAAGTGCCGAACACATTCATCGCGGTCTTTTTTCACCCCCAAATGATGAGAGGAGTCCATCTCAATTGCGGGGTGTCGCGATGTTTTGCGGCAAAAATGGCTGCACTTGCCACTTTTCCCTCTTCACTACATCAAATGGGCCGTGTATTGTGTTGTGTATAGTCATCTGTCGGTAAAGGGGTCGCAGATCTGTAAATTGAAGGGGTGAAGGAGTTGAAACAAGGAAGGATAATAACCATGTAATTGCAGCGGTACGTGCCGATAGGATGAGAGGTGGAAGAAACAAGTTTGGCTCGTTTTACAAAAGGGACCGAGCACATCGGTTACAGAGGAATGCAATGAGAGTTACAGTAATACCATCATCTGGTGTCACATCACAACCACAAACATTTTACACACCCGCAGATCATCAAGTTTCGAGCAGGTAACGAGATTTTTAGGAGAAGCTCCTGTGAATAACAGTGATAATTTTCAGTACAACTGACCAAAATACGCACATTCATTATTATGATCAAACAAAAGTAAAAACTGAATTCATCAAGACAGAATATGACGCACATCTTCAAAGCCCAACATTATCTAGCAGCACTAACCAACAAAGTGAGTTTGCCTTTTTCTATTGGCCCGCTTTGTATTAACAGTTAGTGCTTTCAGTTTCCGATTTCATTATGCGCCCAGGATATTTGGTAGATCATCAAGATAGCATTGCAGCACTTCTCAACACCACAAATGAGGATCATCTCATTCGCTTCCCAACCACATACCCACTCGCCGAGGTGAAGCAAGAGCCATTCGACTACAGTGAGCATCACTTTGTACATCATCCACTTCTGGAGTACCAAGGATACACATCCACTGCCAACTACGCTCCAATGATGCCAATTCCAACAGTTACCACCGCTCAATCAGTAGTGACATCCACTTCTTCCAGTGAGTTTTATAATAGCTTATAGAAGTTTGAATGAATAATTTTCAGGCACCACCGGAAGAGTTTCCGAGCCAACCAGAACATCGCCAGTTCTTCCACTGTGCCCAGCACCAACTGAGAAGACAGTAGATCACTTTTACAACAGCAACATGGCTGAGATGTGCAAGACCCTTCCAGATGATTCTCAAATTATCAGAATATTCAATGCCGCTAAGGGAATGAAGGGAGAAGCGCACTCTTTTGCAGTTACCGTAGCCGACGAGAACTTGAAAGTGATTGTCGATTGGGCAAAGAACAACCAATTGTTCGGCAAGCTCCAGGTAAGATAGATATTTTTTGAATCTTTATTTGTCCATTTTCCCATCACCAATGTTTTATCCGCATGTTCTCATCCTCTTTATCCTCTGATCAAATGAGAACCCATAGAGATAAATTGCTCGCTTCCGGAGATCAAAGAGGGCCAATTGCCCTTACAAAAGGAAGCGCACCTCCTGAATAGATACATAAATACAAACACCTTGTCCATTGTTTTCCTTTTACCGACACCCATTATGTACTACTAGTAATTTCCGTATTGTAATTGCACCGCGAACCATCCTGCCACTTAATTCTCAAGTGTGATAAGTAATTCCTCACTAAAGTGCATTTTCTTCCAGTTGGATGATCAAATGAATCTTCTGCAAACATCATGGTCCACTGTACATCTTGTCGATATCACCAATGCGATGATTCACGGAAACCTCAGTCCAACATACAAAATCACGACTGGAGAAGAGTAAGTCAGAGGGGACCGATTTCTTAATGAGTCGATCAACTTTTTGCGCAACATCCCACAACTATAAACAATTCCCTTTGTGCGGTCTCTTCGAGATCACGCTACCAAGATTAAGCGATAAATCTTTGACTCATCTCGATTACTTCCCCCCCCCCCCCTTTTTTTGCCTCTTCGCAACGTTTGGCTGCCGACCTGACGTAATCATTTTCTTGATTCTCGGGACCCCGATAAAATCTACTGTTTGGGGGGCTCATCGTATAATGTGGTTGCGTGTTTTTTTCCCAGCGGCATTTTTGGTTTTTATAACCCAGGATTACCGTTTAAGGCTGGGATTACGTAATTGTTGAGACAGCCGCCGGGATAGTTACTCAAAAGTTCAAGAATGCCTAAAGGAGCAATAAAGAAATAAAGTTTGCCCTTTTGCAGTGTTTCTGTTGGAGCCGTCGCTCTTCTTGGATACCGACTCTATGTGAACACCTGGAACGATATTGTAAACCGATTGAGAAACATGGGATTCACCAAATTCGACTACTGCGCTTTCCGCTTCTTGGCTCTCTTCGACCAATCCATGGATCACTTCCAAGCCGTGTCTGCTGCCAGATCCCGAGTCCTTCAAGCCTGGGCTGAAGTGCGATGCTCATTTGTCTCTGGATTCATGAGTATTTTTGAGGAAATCAGGTAAGCACCGTTAATAAATCGCTTATAATCGTCACGACCTTGGAGACGGTGGGGATTTTATTCATCCTCCTCTCATCAATCTTTTGCATCCAAATTAGCGTCGTGCTGTATAATTAGTGCTCATCATGCCTTCCTTCGTTCCTTCACACCGTAAAACTTGTTGTATACCGGGCCAAAAGACAAAGAATGGGGGGAAGAGAAGCTTTCGAAGGGGAAGAAAAAACTTATAATAGACGGAAGGCTCATTTATTCTGGTTGGATAGGTGCGCGAGGAACGGACAGATTTGACAATATGTAGATGGTATTGTTGCGCAGCAGGTGGCACTAAGAAAAGGGGGATATAGTGAATCTTAAGAATGAGGACTAAACGCACATATGAATAGACAGAAAACAACTTGACTTATGAATATGAATAGAAAAAGAATTAGAGGAATTCATTATTCATAATCTATATTTTTATTCCAGACGACTATCCCACGATGCCGTTCGATATCTATGGAGCCTTCAATCCAACTTCCCAGAGCTTTGGGCTAGCTTGAGGCCGGATACATCTCTTGTGCTGGAAATGATCAAGACATCTGCCACCCGTCCTACTGATGTCACATCAACCGTTCCACACATTTCAGTACCTCTGCAACAAACCACATACGCTCCTGTAGTATATATGACATCTTAACCGGATTGAAAAAAATCAACAAATCATTTATGAAATACCTTTAGTTTGAGAGATCTCGCTCAAAATTTCTGTAACACGGGGTCTGTGCTTTCTAAAGCACATTATCTATATATAAGAGTTCATCATCCCAATTAAATATCTATCACTGTCATTTCTTACCTCACCCATCTATTCAAAAACATTCCCGGCATAATTTGTTTTAATCTGAGATCTACTGAAAATTGTGATTTATTGCGTTGTCCTCGATAATTTTCAGATGTTGTAGTTTGTCATTCATGTGCATTTTCTCTCACTGTCTTTTCCATAATCTCATATCTGCGTTGTTTTGCTTTGTGTTACCTTGTGCCCAAACTAGAATTCAGCTTTTAACTCTTGATCATTGCTCGTCTCATCCACCATCAATCCCGTTTGTTCCGACTTTTCATGTAATTTTTCAAAAATTTGCAAGTTTTCTCTTTTTCTAGGTTTTGATTTCTTTAAAATACTTTTACTAACTCTTTTCCTGAACACTGTCTCACATCCCACGCGACACACTTCCATTCTCTGTCTCTTTCTCTCGTTCCCAAAACTTTAAATTTGTTCTCTTCTGCAAAACGGATAAGTGTTTTACATGCAATTAAGAATATTTGTATTGTACTCTTTATGCCTGAATTCCCAAAACTTTTGTTTTTTGCTGAAATTTTTTATGTGTGATTTTCTTTCATTTATATTGTTTTCTATGTGCAGATGGTATATAAAATTTTCTTAAAACTGAAACCTTTGCACTTTTTGAAAATTTCAGGAATTTCAAAATTATTTACAGAGTTCAAGATTCAGACCAAGAGTTCTTAAACACCTACTTCACAATCTTTGGTCTGGATTCAAATTGTTCTTTATTCTCTACTTGTGCCTAGTCAACTGTACTTTCTTCCACTTTTCTTTAAAAGTACGTACTTGTTTTTTTTTTCGCTCAGCGATTCTGTGGACTTCCCGTTGGACAGTAACCATCTGAAATGTAGAGAGAGGGTTATGTCAATCATCAACGCAAAAAAAGACATCACTATCTTTCCCATTCTCCGTCTCTGACTTTTTTATTGTTCCGACAGAACCTTAAAAAAAGTGTCGTTTCACTTCACTCACCCATTCCTCCCCCAGGTATAGACGCTTCTTTTTTTCCTTCTTCTTCCACCACCCACGGAGATGGAGAGGCCCAACGATTTAGCCGAACTGGTTTTATATGTCTTCGTCTTCTTCTCATTTCTTCTATTTTTTTTGGCTGATCAAAGAAAGAAAGAATGAAAAGAGGTACCCCCCACCCTCACACGCACTGTCGATTCTCTTCAGTTTTTCAACTTGCGCAGACATCATTCTGAAAAAGGGGCAGATGAAGACACAGGGTACGCATAAAAAATCAAGAAAAGCAGTTAGGGTGGAAGACGAGAAAAAATGGAATTGCGCGAAATCGATTATGCTGAAAGGAGATGTTAAGGTACTGTAAAACAAGAACAATGAAATTCTCACAGATGGCACTGAACCAGAAGATTTTATGTCACACGACGTGTCTTAAAAAATTTTGATGCTGACGGGGTGTTGGAAGGGGTTCAAAAGCGTTAGCACAGGTGATTCGCGAACAATCTGTTACGGACGCTCCGCGTTCGCTCGCGGTTGAAATAGGAACCGCATACGGACCGCACGCAAACCGTTTTCAGTAATAGCAGTACATTATTCGAATTGATCCGCATCCTGTCCGTTTGCGAGCTCTCTTTCCGATCCGATTGCGAATCATAACCAAACAGATCCGTTTGCGAATCAAGTGTTTTATCGAGTTCGCAAACGGATGTTTGGTCATGATTCGCAATCGGATCGGAAACGGAGCTCGTGAACGGACAGGATACGGATCAATCCGAATAATGTACAGCTATTTACTGACAACGGTTCGCGTGCGGTCCGTATGCGGTTCCTATTTCAACCGCGCGTGAACGCGAAGCGTCCGTAACGGACCCGTTCGCATTTCACCTGTGAGTTTGAATTATTAGACATCATCAGAACAAATCCACAACCGATAAATTGTTGAACTTCTAGTCGGTGGTTGGTTAAATTCCGCATAAAACCTCTATTAATGAACTCCGAAAAACTTATCAGAAGGTTCCGACCTAGTAGTATTTCTAATATTTTATCTCGACCCAAATGTGGCCATGACCTTCTTTACAGCCGTTTTTAGGCAAGTTCCGAGCAAAGCCTGGGCAATATTCTTCCAAACCCCGGAATCCATTTCAAATCTGGCAGGAAGTTAAAAGCCGACAGCCGAATGGAAGATAACAAATATTGTACTATCTAGCTCATAGACTTTGTTGAGAGAAATTGCGAACAATACCACGAAGTAACCGTACCAATATCATCAATACCAATAGAAGAAAACCATATACTTGCACTTCAAACTCAATTAACTCAGTTTATATGAAAAATATCAAAGACGTTTCAACTGACAAAATGTTAAAGTCATTATAACAAACATTTTATCAGTTGACAAACTTTTGTTATCCCTCACAGATATTGAGATAATTGAGCTCAAAGTGCATTATAAGGTGGCACTCTATTATATTATTTACGAGTTGTCAGAAGAAGTTCGATTATAACGTAATCAAATATTCACATCTCGTTAATTACGATATTTTTCAAGAATTCACTCGAATACTCTATTGTTATTTTTTACCACGAACCGGGACAACGCAAAATCAGAAATTCATTTTAAAAAATAGGAGGAGTCTTAAAATAACCTTATAAATGGAAATACGAACTGAAAAGTTGGCAATACAAGGTTCAAATTTTGACTTTGACCTGGAGCTGGCAGATGCTTTTTTTTACTCACAAGTACGTTTAGCATTGCCAGACATTTGTGCCAGGCTAAATCTGGTTGACTTCGATAATTCCTCGATCTTCGATAATTTGAAAAGTTTTCTGGGAAATCGTAATTGCTTTGTTTTGCTAACATTTTTTGTATTGTATTCAAATTCCATCTCCTCCCATTATCCCAAAAACGGTTTTGAAATTGTTGACAACTTCTTCACCAAAAATCTTATTTCCACCCAACTACCGTAATCGGGGTGTGTGTGTGTATGTGTTTGCGTGCCGACGCCATCTGCCGCCTTGATTCAGTCGGGTGACGGCATGACGAGTAACGGAATTTCTCATGCATATACCGCTTCCACTCTAACCTCCTTCACTCATCTTCGTCTGTCTTTCTCCTTTTTTACCAAAAGACCTGCCGACCTCATCATCAAATTCTTAATCGGTTTTCGGAGCGAAATTGGGAAGTTGAAGTCAAGTCAAACCAAAACGGACTGACAGTTTGCTATTCATTCATTTCACAACGTACACAACAAGAAGATGTTTTTATGACAATGGAAACCGTTTTTTTTTGTCTGATGTTGTTCTTCAGAATAGAAGTCATCAGGCAAAAAAAGAGAGGGGAGAAGGTGAACGGAGGAATTGAGATGCAAATTAGGCTGTAAATTAGAATTCTATTTGCACTAACAAAGCCCCAATAAACAGGATTAGTCATGTTTAATAGGCAGTAATCACATTCAGTACCGCACTCCATGGGAACTTTACAGATTTTTTTTTGAAAATCTTCAAAAAACCTAAAGGTATTCTCCAAGATTTCAAACCTAAGAATTCAAAAACTCTAGAAATCTCAACGTTGAAGTGTCAGATTTCTGAAGTGTGTAGTCCTCTTCACCTGAGCTCATCTCTGTGGAGTTCGAGTGACTTGTGCTCTGTAATTATCGCTTACACCGCGCACACTATGTTGACCTCTTACGTGCCTATTCATTTTGCTTTGTTGTGTTGTATTGTTATTACAAGGGTGGATGTGTCTTGTAACATATTTCGGAGAACTGAGATTTCTTAGGAATGTGAGGTGAACTGTAGAGGAAATTTGCCTTTATCGGTTAAGATCTTTGCCAATACAACGAAAATTTTTTTGGAATAAATGTAAAAAGAGAAGTGGTGTAGAGGAAATTTCGTCTATTCGGAGAATTGAAATCTGAAAATTTTTCATTTCGTGACGCGATGTTCAGACGCGTTCACTACAGAATTCTTGTCTGAAGAGCCACTTCCAGTTCAAAATGAGAATATCGTTGAATCAACTCTGCAAACACTTTAAACCGGTAAACACGACGGTTTTTGAAAATAGCATACATTTATTCAGCTCGATTATAATACAAAAAAAATACTGGTCGAAATCCAGAAATTACACTTTTAAAAACTCGGCAAAAAAGTACTTAAAGTACCATTTTTCAAACATTCAACATCAGATTTTCAGTCAGAATGAGAAACATTTGTTCTAAAGCAATCACAAATTACACATAAAGCAGTAATTATAATACCGTTCTCTATTTTTGTTGGGAGAAAAAGAAGAATACATATAGAAATGGATATATTCAGTATTAATATACAAATGACAAGCTTGAAGCACATTCTCTACAAGGCATTGGCAGGCATACAAACTGAAAAAAACTTGTCTGTTTTTTGTTTTGTTCTATACTGTTTTTTGTTCGTTGTACGAGAAGCACCGGGAAATGAATAGAACAATCATTAAAGAATAATTTAAATGGAACTGGGAACAGTGGTGATAGATCGTCTGGTAGTGCTCTCAAAATGAGTGCTGAGCAACTGAGAGCAAGCTGGATTGTTTCCCTGAAAAAACGAAAATCCATATAAATGTTTCAGGCTTTTTTGGCTTCTATATATATATAGCTAAAAATATCCTACCGGACTCACTCGTCTCATTCCACAAGCAGTTTTGACTGAATCCCAAAGAGTAACAAATGCAGCTCGGAAGTGTTCGTTACAGTAACCATAGAGGAATGGGTTGACGATCGTGGACCTGCAATAATACAATTATAGATCCTTCTTGTAGACCTTAGAAAATTTCATTAGGTTCTCTTTTCAATGAACTTGTGTCATTGTTGTCCCTCAATTCATTTAAAATTCATCAACATCTCTTTGATCATTCTACTCATTCAACACTAGCTCACTCATACACGTCTTACTTCTCGAGAATGACTTTTAGTTTTGTTGAACCTTGCAATGTTCAAAACACATCAGCTCAACTTACGCCATAGAGATACAGTGAGAGATAATTCCGAAGAGATAATCCTGATCAGCAATAAATCCTGGAAGAGCCGAGTAGTCCCGAAGGAAATTGAAACCAACAGCTGGTAGCCAGGAAAGGGCAAATGTGACAGTCTGAAATTCAATTATTAACATCCAGGCATATTCCTAGGAAACTCTGAAAGTCTTCATTTAGCGTCTGACTAACCATGATAATGAGCATGCGGTTGGTCCTGAGACGTTTTTGCGTAAGCTGACGACGTGCTTCAGACATCAGCTCTTTTGGCTTCCCCGCACAAAGACTCCGTTACGTAATTTAAATGAAATGGATGCGTAACAGAATGTGATAATAGCGAGTGGGAAGACAAACTGGATGATAAACACCATGCTACCTGAAATTCTTATTATAATACTGAAAACAAATTCTTCCCACTAACCATAAATACTTCTCAAATGGGCATCCTCTCGCCAATTTTCAGTGCAAAACTCTCCACAAAAGTTACTATACTTTACAAGCTCCTGTTTGAGGAACAATGGAGCGGAAAGTGCGATAGCAATTGCATTATTGAAAATGATCATTTTGAAAGCAAGATTCTTGCGGATTGGTCTGAAACTTTGAGCCTGAGTGAAATTCAAAAAAGACCTAGAACTCACTCCGAGGTTGGATGGCAAATTAGAATGTATCTGTCAATGGCAATTGCAGTGAGAGTCAAAGTCGAGAAACTCAATGCGGTTCCCTGTAAGAAAATTTATTTCTGGCATCAAAGAATGCTTAAATTACCTGCAAAAGGGGTAGGAAGCGACAAAGTGGTGCTCCAAAGAGCCACACTTTGGAAAAAGCTGAAATCGGTGTGACCGAGCCACTGAAAATTGCGACAAAGAGATCTGACACTGATAACGACACAATGAACATATTCCTAACGGATTGCAGAGCTTTGAATCGTACCACAGACATTACCACTAGTAGATTTCCAGTGCATCCCACTCTGAAAACTCTTTATTGTTTAACCGATAATTCAATAATCAGATATCTGTTTGTTCTTTTAGTGTGTTATGAATGTTTTTCGAAAATCTTCGAAAATTTTTGAAACGATTAGAATGAAAACGCTACTAATATCTTTGGAATCCACTCATCTCTCATCTATGATCCTTTGAGCGGCGTCTCCAAAAAAACCAACCGGAAAATTTAGAGAAAATTTGGTTTTCCGTTTGACCTCGTCTCTGTTTCCGGAAAACCAATTGAGCAAAAACAAACATTGAATAGTATGAAAGCTAGAGTTACACGTTTTGCCTCCTTTTAGTGTATTGAATTGATTGGGCCTCGTTTCAGTAGTACTTCTAGAGAATAAATCGGTATGCTACGCATTTTCTCCTTATGTAAACTTTGTGATTTGAACTAATGTCCAATTTTTGGAACTATTGCACAACGATTATTGGATTGCACTTTTTCTAATCCCCCCGTAGGACCTCTTTCTTGTTGTTCCTTCAAGAAAAAATCCTACTTGGAATTTGGTTTAGCTTTCCACTATAAGCATCAAAAACCGGGAACACTGGCTGTGGAGTTACTCATCTGGCAGTAACCCCCATCCCCTTTTTTGACAGCCATAATTGAGTTCCCCTCGTTATTTTTCTTTGTCTTTCCTTCTTTTTTTCAGAGGAGACCTACTGTTGAGTTAATTTAATTTCACAAATTGGGAACTTGTGAAACACTCAATGGATTCCCTAATAGAATACCGAACAATTGGGTGGTGTGGTCGATGTTGCTGCTCAATGAATGAGCAATGTAATGTTGACATTGAATACAGAGTGAGCTCTTCACCCTCATGACATAGATCTTAGTTTTTTATTTTGTTTCAGACGCCTCTTATGGGGTTCGATGGTATTCAATTTCGTCATATGGGTCCCTTTACAACTCACATTACGATGAAAATGTAGATTGTTGCCAGAATTGAAATTGTGATCGGGTGAAGTGTCAAGTCATGCTTTGTTTCCCACAAGTAGGAGCGAATATCACGACAACTGTTTGTAGGTGTCATTGTGTCTGGATCCAGGCTGAAAAAACATGGTTGCTGTAGTTCTGCATAAAAGTTAAGAAGATAAAACTAGAGAAATCATAGTTCAATTAGATAAAAGGCACTACGAATGACAAAAAGGGGCTAGCCACATAGTAAGAGGATATAACTTTATAGTTTTCATCCAAAATTTCTAATACTACCTAAAACAGATCTCTCAATTTGGCAATTATACAAAAAGCACAAATTTTCTGGAAATTTTTTGGTAGTACGTCGAATACAAAAACATAACAATTATCAGAAAACTAGTCGCTAAAACTCTACGGCAGAAGGAACCGAAGACCCGGGAATAGACAGAAGAGGAGCACCCTCTTCCAAAAATGGGCGGGACATAGTTTTTTTTGTCTCTTGCGTTTTCTTCCAATTTTTAAAGAAGGCGGTCTTGGAGACGAGACGATGGATAAGGCAAGAGTGTTCTATTTTTCGCGCTTTTGACGCTGATTAATGGAGCCAACACTAGGAGCCAATTTTGCAAAAGGAAATTGGAAGGGAGGAGGTGAATGATGATGTTGGGGAATTTGAACATCATGATCAAAGAAAGCTGATATCTACTAACTTGGCTTGAAATGATGGTTGTTTTATGAAAAATGGATTTGTTATAAAAAGAAATTGGGCAAGATTAATTTAAGGATACTGCCAACGTCCACGTTCACTGGCCGCGACTAAAATTTAGGCAAACGCGTTACTCATTATTTTTAGCCAGTCTAATAAAAACGAACATCACTTTTCAGTAACCAAATATTTGTGAATTAAGATTTTGTGATCGGAAATGGTGCGGATGTAAACTTCCTTATTATCGTATTTTAAACGAGTCGGCCCACAGAATGAAAATAAATAGCAACGGATGAACTCTTTATTAATGACATCAACTAGACATAAAACATAATTAACGCCTTTTTTAATTTCTTCAATTAAAAGTTAAAAGAAACAAAACACACTATTAAGGCTGACACATTTTTCCTAACTGGCAAGGATCAAGAGAAGAGTCACAAAAAGAAAAAAAAACAAAAAGTTTCAACTTTTTTTTTTAAAACGCTTTGAATGGAGTTCAGACATGATGTCAAGAGTGGATATTGAAATCGCCAAAATGTTGGGAAAAAGCTAGAGAATGGATTCGATTGAAGCCCGAAAAAAAGAGAGGGTGGAGGAGTAACTTTTTGGAAGGTGAATCCAGCCAACCGAGAGTTTGGCATTGTTTCTTTCGGAGTCTGAGAGCAAAGAATAAGCAGAGTAGGAACATAGTGGAGGGAAGTAGTTAGTCTTAAAAGTAATTATAACGTTATTTTTGGTCTTGTTTAAAAAGTCCAAAATATTTTGACATCATGTCTGAACTCCATTCAAAGCGTTTACAGAGCAGTTCAAACTTTTGATATGAAAAATTGCCTTTTAAAATATTTCGTTTGTATAAAACAAATTGCCTGCTCTTTTTTCATTGTCACTAGAGAAAAATATTTGTTTCAGTTTTTTCGGACTATTCTCGGGTGCCTTTCACATTTCAAAGGATTCAAGAAAAGATTGGGATAAGAAAGTTTGGAAAAAGTTATCTAGGATTTACAACCTTCAACAGGAAAAAAATAAAATAAAAATCCCTGGCGGACATTTAAATTTTTTGTGTTCAGAATAAGATAAATGGGCTTGATATAAAAACGGATTGAATGTGACACATTTGAAAATCCCCTCTATAAAATCTTTAAAAGTTTCTATCACTACGGAAAACTAGTCTCTAGAGTTATTTGGAATCTCTTTGAACTGGGATCTCAAGTTTTCAAAGAATCTGATACCAAAAATTAACCAAGGGATTCTATTTTTCGAAAAATAAAATACGATCCAAAAGATTTTGAGATCATTTTCTGCGGATTTTCTTGTAGGAGGAATGCACTAAAGAGATGAAATAAAAACAGAAAATGTTAATGTGGATTTTTTTTTCCGTCTGGAGAGCTTTAATTCTTGGTAAACAATTTGCAGACTGAAGTTAATGATCTATTTTCACATTTTCATTCCAGAAATTACTACTCAGTATTGCACTTCTTCTGTAGGAAAGAAAATGTTTTAATGTTTGAGTGAAAGGAAATCTCAAAATGTGAATTATCTGTTGATCATGAATTTCAATTCAAGGAAACAAGTTAAAACAAGGAAATTACTAGAAGTGTATGTGTCTGTTCATGACGAAACTTATATTATTTGAATGCCAAGAAAAAGTCATTCACCTGGCTCAGTTTCAGCCGCCGGATACATCTCCATGTTGAGTTATTAATGTTATTGATGTCAATGTGATATCTGAGGAATGATGTATCAGACTGATATTTCAATCTTAAGTTGCATTCAACAAAATTATCCGGTAGTTAAAAAACAGGCGGAGATAATGTACCGCATGTACTGTACTGTACTGTTCAATCTCAATGACCCAAAGTGTCAATTTTCGTTTTTTTTTTTTCATTTGGAATACCTTAAGCAGTAAAAACTGCCTGAAGCTCAGCAGACATCTAGCCTCAAACCTGCACTTTTCGACTGGGTAATTGAAATAAAAGTAAATAAGGAATGTTTTCAACTCTGCCTACCAAATGGATTCCCGACCCACTTTATTTGGTTGTGAGCCAAAAACAGAATACTTCTTGAATGACATTAAATTAGTCTTGAGGGAAGAAAAATAAAAACAAACAGAAGGAAATGAGAAAATGAATGAGCGCTTCGGAAACAAATTCTTGAATTTCATCTAAAACCCGGAAAATATTCGATTTCTAGGACAAGTTGAATTAGTCTGTAAAAACACTCTCTAAAAAAAGAAAGGAAGAACAAGGGAGAAATTAAAAAGTGGGTGATACATTTTATTTTCCAGTGTGCGTGCGGAGCAAAATAAAAACTCATCACGTTTTACTTTCCATTCCCGAATTTTTTATGCAGAACTTGAAAAACGACTACTTCAAAAGTGACAAGTCTGTTTTTCTCTTTCTCGTGCTGAGAAAAACACTTTGGTAGAATCCTTAGATCTGCCAATTTCAGCAATTTATGTTCTTTGAAAAAAAAACAGAATGACAAATTTCAAATATGTATACCTCTACCGAAGTGTCAAAAAAGGAGAAAACTTATGTTCTGTGTTCAGTATTTCTCGCAAAAAGTGATTTTTTAGAAAAAGAGACAAAAAGTGACAGGTTTCTTGCAATGAAGCCGAATTCCAGAATCACATCCAAGGAAGATTGATGATTCTTATATTTTAAACAGTTTTCACAAAAAATTAAAATTAAGTTTTTAAAAAAAGTTTTCCGTGTCCCGACGCGTTTGGAATTACGAACCCTAGGAATCTGGGAGTCACTACTTCGTTCTGGCTCCAGAAATCCCAGATTTAGGATTTTCGGCTGAGAAACACCGAAATATCAGAAAAGTAAATATCATATGTTCTGGATTCAGTTTTCTTGCGAAAAGTGATTTCTACATCAAAAGAAGCCGAAAAATGACAGGTTTCTTGCACTGAAGCCTAATTCTAGAATCACAGTTCTTCTCAGAAAATCTATGATTTTTATATCAGATAAGAATGAATCACGTGGGCGTTTATAATGCTTCCAAAAAGGATTTTTGCTAAAATTCTAGAACAAAAGGGAATAGAAATGCCCTTTCAAATGACTCAGCTTACTTATCTGATTGTTTCATTTTACTCTCCACGTACGTAAAAAATTGAATCCAGCTTTATCCCATTAGTTTTTTTTCCAAATCCACAAGGCTAATGTCACGAGTTAGCATTAGTTAATTAATTTTTATGTAAAGCAAGTTCAACAGTTTTTTTCATTAGAAACAGATTTAGAAAACAAGTTTTTGTTTCTTTGCTCACTTGCCAGATTTTACTAGTATTCCAAAAATTCCACCTACCCAGTTGGGACCAGGTACAACGGAGAGGTACAACAGAGAACAAGTACCTTGATCGTTTTTGTTCTTCTAACTAGAATCGTGAATTAACAATAAGGGTGTGTAGGGAAAAAAGTAAAAAGAGGAGCAAAGTACCAGAAACGTATCGAGAAAAAAAGAAGGAAAGGTAAAAAAACTGAAAATAGTAGAGGAAAAATATATGGGAAGAAACCATATTTTGAACGCTTACTAGGACCAAGGCACCACTTCTTTTTCGGGAGGAGAGGTTACGTCGCACTTCGAGAAGTAGGCAGTAAACAGGATATTGGTAGAGATTTTCTACGTATTTTCTAGGTCCTTTTTCAGGGGGCTACTTGAAGGATCCGCTGGGTGGTAGGTGAAAACGAAGAAAATAAGAAAATCTTAAGACAAATCAAATTTAACGGACGAAACACACCGGCTAGCAGCACACAAAGTAACTGGACCATGAAAAAAAAACTAGTAAAAGATAGAGAGAAAAAAACAAAAGCAAAAAAAAAGAGAGGAACTGGTCGAGAAATATTTGAACATTAATTTCTAAGCCCAAAATAATAATATGCAAATGTTTTCTTATTCTATTTTTGCGTGTTTTGATATACTACGATGTGGGTAAAATTCAGAAATACCTATGACTCGGTGATGTTTTGAAAATTATTATTTTCCCGGAACTTCCAAAGTTTGTTGAAAATTCTTTTAAAAATTCAAATCTAAAAACTTTAAATTTCTATGAATCTTGCATTAGTTTGCATGTTTCGATTTGTCATGAAAATCGCCGCCTTTTTGAATACTTCTTCCTTGAGAGGTGGGTGGAAAGGTTTTTGGTCATTATGACCTGATCATCGACAAAAAGTGTACAGTTTCGACAGTTCACCGACAAATAAATAAGTGAACATGTGTCGAATTACTTTTTCTTGCACTCGCTGGCCCACTTCCAACAATACAGAAATCACCACGCTCTCGCGAAAGAGCACAACTCGAACAATGAGGAAAAAGAGCGGAAAATGAGAAAAAAAACCGTCGAAAGGACATATTGATCTTTGGCTGACTTCCAGGAGGCCAAAATTTGATAGTGGAATTGGTTGTAATAA